GATATTATCTACAAATCACTTGGATTCGTCAATAGTGGCGACATCTACTTACTGTGCTACGAACTTGCTGACTGCTATGTTGCTTGCTCTGAGTTGCCTAAGCATCACCTAATAAGTTTGAAATGAAAGTAGTAAGTCATATATATTTTGCTCCTTAAAAAAATGGTTCAACTTGCCACTCTCACTGGGGAGTTTGCCTTTAGGAAAAGGAAGTTCACTTCGCAATTCCCGTAAGCTATTTGAATACCAAATAAGGACACTATTGTGGAACTAGGCCTGCAGAATAAGACTATATAGTGGAAGTTGTCGAAAAAATCGTCCGATAGGAACCATTTTCAATAGCGCTCGTCTCTAGGCCAAAACGTGATGATGTACGGAATTTCATCAAATATCTCCAAAATTGCAATCTATAAGTTGAACCGGATAGACAAGCTTAAATCGATAAGTACAATAAATGATGAATCCCGGGCCTTGCATACATCCCTAGAAACTTAATATATCCTTGTATCACCAATGGTGTAGGGTATGCATGAAGGCAGCACGTTTTCACCTTATGCCATCTAATGTATGAAGTGATCTATCATGGCCTTACTGAGAAGCTACCAGTTATTGTATATAAAGTTGATTTCCTTTTAGTCAATCAAAAAAATATTCCAAACCTTCTAACGAAGCGAAAAGTCTGCGTACCTTAGCAAATATTTTGCAAGCATTTGAACCATAAAATAATTGAATTATTCAGGATGTGGCCTTACATATGTTTTCATATGTAAACTGATATATGTAAATGACCTAAACTAACCTATATGTACACAATTATACAAGCCACTGCAAAAAGAGAAGGAAGCCAGAGAGAGAGAGAGAGAGGGAGAGACAGGGAAAGAGATATAGTTTCACATATTTAAATACCTCGCACCTAAAATAATACCAAAGCAATCAAGCAGAAATTGTTGTTTTTTTTTTTTTTTTTCAAATACAAACACAAATACAATCAATTCAATAAACTATGATATGAAACATGTTGTAAAATATTTAATAAATATTCAAGTCTCTAAGGTTCAACATGTGTGCGCACGGCACTACACAAATATATTTTCGGTACATTCGTACCTCATACATGCATACGTAAATTTACGTATTAGTATACGTGTATTAAATCATTCATTCAGTTTTGTTGTTTTTGCGTATTTTTATATCCATCACCGAAAGATGAGAGACATATTAATTTTGTCAAAACACTTGCCCAGCAGGAAGTTTCAGAAACGCGGCAAAGTATACATGTATTCCTAATCAGCATCAAAGCTTAAAATGATTCAAGCACTTTCGTCTGTCCGTCAACTATATAAATCTTCCAAATCTGGCCGCAAAAATGTAGCAGTCGTCTTTAAATTTGGCACAAAGATTGGAAGCTCTTGTACGCAGGTTGGTGTTGAAAATGGGCCAAATCGGTTAAAGGACACGCCCATAGTGACATGTGGACTGAGAACATCTTTGTTTTTCCAAAAGAATAAGAAATTGATTTTTTACTCGTTACTCATAAACTAAAGCAGATAAGCCTACGAAAATTTGAGTGCGCATACTATGGTAACACTGTACTACATGTGCTTATCCAACATTAAATTGGATCAAAATTTAACTTCTTTTTCAATACCTTTATAACGTGCAGAAGCAAGGTTCCAAAACCCCGTAAACCATATAAGTTCACTGCGAGTTTCAAATTCAAAATGCACTTAAACTTGTCCGTCTGTCTAGCAGTCCGTCTGCCAAATTAGGTAGTAACTGTGGTAGTATCATTCTCCCTTAACGAAAACGAAGATATCACCAACAGATTCGCAAAAAATTTCGAAAGGATCTACATTTTTTTAGGGGACACGCCTACAACGCCTACACGTCTATGCGGCAACAACTTTTATCTTGAAAATCAGCCGCCCGTGAGTAGCAGCAGTACATCATGCTTATCTCTTCCTATTCTTCTTTATCTCTTTTAGGATGACGGTAACGGGTCTACAAGATTCGCCCTCGACCGAATATGATTTTCTTACTTGTTTTTTTTTTTTTTTGGCACTTTTGATTTTATATCAAATGTTGTGTAAATAAATTATGTACATATTTATTTTGTTCATCATGTGTGACATGTAATATTATGTAATATTACTAAAACAACAAGAACAACAACAACGATGCCATTTGTTATTGCTTACATCGTACATGAAAATAAATGTCATAACAGATTTATGCGTGTTTATCATTTTAGAAATATTTCACGCAATAACGTAAGAGTTTAATCTAGTAAAAGGTTTTCGAGGCAGAGTCCGAGATGCTTTATCTATACATAACTATCTTGATTACTATGCCAATATATTTCAACCTTTTTTGGTGTAAGCGACATTTCGCATCGCCCGAAGCATGAGAGACATACGTGTAAGATAATTATATTCACTTGCGACCGAAACTTTTGTACCCATCCCCCTTAACCTATCGAAAGGATTGCAAAAAAGCGTAAATATATGTTTGCACACTCTGCAACATAGGATGGGCGTGGATGATTTTTTTCTGTTTTTGTAGAATAATTTTAGGGAAATTTACATTAAGTATCTGTTGCAACTTACGAGCAACGAGCAACAGACACGAAAACCAAAGGTGTTCCCAGTTTTCGGTGCATAGATATGCACGCATTGTAGGCGTGTTCTTTGACCTGCTTTGGTCCATTTTCAAACCCTTTTGCAAATTTATGTACGCTTTTGGGAAGCATATTTCCACAGATGCTGCATAGTTGCGTAGACAGACAGACGGACATGTGAATATCCAATATGATCCTAGCCAAGAATACATGTACTTTGTGAGCGAGACAGACATGTTCTAAGTTTGCCTGTTACTGTAGACGTGTTCTTTGACCGTTTTAGTCCATTTTAAGTTCAACCTGCGTGCAGGAATTTCTAATGTTTTAGCCAAATTTGAATCGATAGCTTCGGTTTTGCGGCGGATGTTCACAAACGACATAGATGGACGGACGGACATGCCTAAATCTATGCAGAATTTGATGCTGGTCAAGAATACATATAGACTTTATGAGGTCTCTGAAGCGTCACATGTGCAAACTCTTTCCAATTGCTTGCTTCCAAATTGTCGTGGACCGATTTTGCCCACAAATAAGTTAGTATTACGACTGTCTATTGTTGTAAGATCTCCAAGTTAAGAATGGAAGAATGGAAGTTCAGATATGACAAAAATAAATATTATTGTCCTAGTGCGGACGGTATCACTCCTTTAAGCTTAGCTTCGGCTCCTGACCGCAAGATCAAGAAGATTTGCATTTTTTCTATATAACATTTTATTCTCATCTTTGTCCAATCCGGAAACTTCCTGTGTTGTGTCATGCTGGCCTATGTCATGTGGTAATGTCAAGTAACGAAGCGACGCGTATCAATCGAAGGCATTTTGTTTAATATACGTGGATGTTATGTCGAAATATATGTTTGAATTCGTTACTTACAATTCGCGAAATTTGCGGCCATTAATGTCTTCTTCACTCTCGAAGCATTCATAAGTCTCGGGCGCAATGCTTTCGAAATTTACCAGCGATTACGATTTCTCCCGTAGTCAAGTCTCCCTTAAATATATACAGGAAGATATACCCGTTATCGTCTTGACATTTCCTTCTGCGATTCTTGGAAAGATTTTTTCCATATAGATAGCCGGGATACTGCGAACACAGTACATTTTCTAGTTTGGCCGCGCTGAAGTCACAAATTTTTGCGATAACAAATTTCTCAAAGTTAGTGCCGAAGAAAAGCATTACAATTTTTCTCTCTCTCATATCTCTCTCTCTTTCTCTGTTTCAATTCTCTGTTTTCATACGATCTCATATGACTTTGCATGTTACTGTTAACAATTTTAGATATTCAGATCAAATTGAACTACAATATTGAACTCTCAAGAGTCCCAAACTCAGTCACATCAAAGTGATTTTGTCTGAGACAAAATTTATTTTTTTCTATTACAAAAATTGCATACAATACCGCAACTTTTAAAATTCCAGAATTTTGTTTTGCTTATCGGCGTAATCTATTTAAATATTATGACACTTTCTGGAGATGCTTTTTCTTATTGTAACTTAAAAATTATCCTTTCATTTAATGAACATAAAACAACTTGAAAATATTATTATTATTATTATTAATTTATGTCGAGGAATAAATTCTGAGTGTAATGTGTTAAAGCGCCAGCATCTAAAGCTTTACTCAAAATTCTTGAGATTTGAAATCATTGCTAATGAGTTGTTAATCAAGATCCTTCACCTTGTCGGCCACACAAGCAGTTAATTTGAAAATAAATCGCTTTTACTGTTTGTTTGTTTTTTACCTTTTGTATGTGTTGCTAACCCTCAATTTGTTTTCTTTTTTTAGTCTAAGAATTTATTTTATTAGCCTAAAAAAATTGCAATAATAATAAAAATAATGTTTTTAATTAAAATTAAGTTTTGAAAAACTTAAAACTTTGTTCACAAACCATACGATTTGCCAATTCTCACACAACCTTGAAAAACGTTGAGAAATTTTTCAGATAGAGCGGCTAGAGGGTGGTCGGCCTTTACTCCCTTTTCATATATGTGAAAAAACAGGGCTGTTAGTAAACAATGAAATTATGTGCTACCATACGGCATTCTCGGAATTTGCCAATTAGCCATGAACCGTCGTTTCTTTATCTTGGCTGCATGCATTAAATGTGAAGAAAGTCTGCGAAACGTGCCTCCTGCTCAGACGCTGCCTAGATGTGTAAAACTCGAACAACTTTATAGCGTCGTCACCTTTAATTGGTACAAAAGCAAATACAATAACGTAGTTCTTGTTTCTATCCTGTGTTACTTGCTGTTAATTTCACGTGCGCTTGAATATAATTTGCTTATGCAAACTTGTTGCAATAATACGGTAACTTTTATTGTCACTTTTCGTAATTTCTATTTTATTCAACGTTTCGCCGCCTGTCAAGAATATTCTGCCGCCGTTTTTATTTTCTTTTTTTTAATTTTTTGTAGACTGTGCAACACGAAGTGGTGATGGTGACGCCTGGACATAATTGTGATTAAAAAAAAGACTAAAATTAAGATTGCTAACAAAAATAAGTAAAAAATTAAGAAAAAATAAACAAATATATTAGAATGGAATGATATATTTACGTAAATTGATATAAAATTCAAGCAAAGTAGTTACTAAAACACTTTGATAATTAACAAGAAGAAGAAGAAGAAGAAAGCTGAAAGGAAAAGTAAAAATTATAAGAAGCAAGTAGGCATTGAAAGCAAAGAAGGCGTGGGGATACATTTGTAACACAAAGTGATTTCAAAACACTATAGCATTGCTTTTCTGCATATTTGCACACAACAACAAGCAGCAGCACGAAAAAACATTTAAAACTAAATATTAACTAAAACCACGTGAAATTAAAGAAATTCAAAGTGCTTAGCATTTTGCTTTCTTTAAGTAATTAAAAATAAATAAATAAATAAGTAAAGGAAAAAGTACAACAGTTTTGCATTATTAGCCATAATAACAGCAATTGTCCGTTGCATGCAGTATTGAAGTTTTATAATCGATTTTTAACCGGTCTCATATATATCGAAATAAAGCAATATCGAGCCAGACTTGAGTTATTTTCTAAAATTCTTAAACAAAATGGGAGCCTATCTCTCGCAACCGAAGACAGAAAAAGAATCCACAGATGAATCTAATGATTATCTGATGGTGGGAGCTTGTTCTATGCAAGGTTGGCGCAATAGCCAAGAGGTGAATAAGTGTATTTTGAAAAGCGATCGCCCAATACCAATTAATACAAAATAAAACTAATAAATTTTATGCTTTATAGGACGCTCACAATTCAATTTTAACTTATGATACAAATGCCTCGTTTTTTGCTGTGTATGATGGGCATGGCGGCGCCGAAGTTTCCACTTATTGCTCTGATAAATTTCCCGCCTTTTTGAAAACTTTAGCCACCTATCAAGAGGGCGCTTTCGAACAAGCTCTTAAAGATGCATTTTTGGGTTTTGATAAAACTTTATTGGATTCTGAAGTTATCGAATTACTAAAAATTATAGCGGGAGAGAAGAACTTTGGGCACAATGAAGACAGTGATACCAAGGAAGACGATGACGATGAGGATTTGGCTGAACTGCATGAAGAGGGTAATTTACCTTTGGATGAGGTTATGAAAAAGTATAAAGGTCATCCTTCAATGCCGGTTTTAAAGAAATTAAAGGAGAACTCTTCACCAAAACCACAATCACCGTATTTAAGAGGTCGTAGAGCAGCTGCTATTATAGCTGATGCTGCAAATAAAGCCGTTTTAGATCCAGATTCCAAACCTGAAGGCTCTTCTACGTCAAAAGCGGCTTTGGCAGCCGAACAGACAGAAGGTAACTAAGAAACGACTTTAAATTCCGTAAAAATGAGTATATTACCCCCTTTTTTTTTTTTAAGTACCAGGTCCCAGTTCTACCAAGTTTGGCATGGAAAACGATTCGAGCAATAGCAACAGTGCCGAGGCTGAAGCTAAAACGACATCGCCTCAATCGTCAGTGAAAGATAAAGTCGCCAACGGTAGCGTTACGTTGAAAACAAGAGTTAAGGAGAGCGAGCAGAATGGGAGCGTTTCCTCTTCAGAAACTAAGGCTGACGAAAACGATAAGCCCACGACAAGATCGGAAAAGGGAGCGAATGATAGGGCCATTTCTAATGAAGCAGACTGTGAACCTAAACAAAATGGTAACATTACCGATGGGGATGACAAGGAAGTATCAATTGAAAAGAGTGAGGCTAACGATACAGCCATTACCTCAACTAGCAAAGAAGTGAAAGAGAAGAAAAAGGTGATACCTGTGGATTCTTCTGAGGAAGAAGATGCTGATTTTGATGGTGATTATTAAACTAATAATTAGATTTTAATTACATTGAAAAATGAAAGTCTCATACCTGATTTGGATCCCTGTCAGTCTGATGTTCGACACCTAATAAGGTGGTTTCTATTTAATCTTTGATATTACACGAGTAAAAAAACTATAGTGAGGCAGGGCCTATCGTTAAATACCCTACGCTATTTCGTTTAATACAAGTACTCATATAACAACTCTTGCAAATAAGACTTTACAGGGCAAGCGAATAATTGCTAACTTTACATTGAACACAAGGAAACAAGACGGAGAGATAAGCTTAGAATGATTCTGAATCGATCGGTGTAATAAAAAGGGAGAATTACTATTCACTGCCTTAACCCTTTAACGCACATTGTTGCCTACACCCCAGATCTACATAATTTTAATTAATTTGTTCAAAAACTTTTACACAAAAAAAAAAAAGATAAAATTGGCAACAATGCGCATATAATTGTTAAAAAAAAGATGAGAGGTGTGAAGTTTTAAGAATACAACGTAGATGTATATTGGTATGCATGTATGTTAATCAATTCAATACAAATTATTTGGTAATTATGGATCCATCAATCCTCTTGCGATTTTTTAACAAATACTGATACATAAGTTTCGCGTGAATATTTTCTATGGAATATCAATTTTTTCATAATTCTAGGCTAACGGTATTTTCAGATCGTTTTTAAATAGGACCCGTTGGTGTCAAATAAGAGAACAAATAAATTTTTCCCCAATATTTTTGTAATGTGCCGATAGCTACTAATAAAGCAGAGAGACGGCCAAGTCTGAAGACTTCATAAGATGATCCAAAGTGTATATTTATAGTAGATATAAAAATTTATGCACCTAATCTTTTTATGCTCTACACCACTTATGGTACAATCGTATTGTTTACCGAAGCTTCCGTCTTCGGTCTAAAAATGGTTCAAATCGCAGCACTTTTGCAGCCATTTTCGAACGCTTTATTTTAAAAAGGCGGTATATGGATAACGGTAGGGCAATCCGTGATTTTTAACGTTGGGCCGCGCCCTCTATGTATTTCTACTTATTTTTCATATAACTTCCTTATTATGTACTCAAAATTGCTCATTAATTGAACAGCTCGCCAAGCTATGGAATACTCGTCTGATGACGAAAATGATGAAGAAGATTTAGGTGAAAATGATACGGAAGATTCTGAAGATGCTGGTTATGATGAAGAAGAAGAATCGGGCGAAGATGAAGATGAAGAAACCTTTTTGGCTAATGAGAATTTTTGCGCCAATATGATCGAAGAACCGGGCAAAGATAGCGGCTGCACTGCAGTAGTAAGCTTGTTAGTTGGACGCGATTTATATGTAGCCAATGCCGGTGACTCCCGTTGTGTAGTCTGTCGTAACGGCAAAGCAATCGAAATGAGTTTGGATCATAAGCCAGAAGATGACGAAGAATCAGCACGCATTATGAAGGCTGGTGGTACCGTTACCATCGATGGTCGTGTTAATGGAGGCCTTAATCTATCACGTGCAATAGGAGATCATGGCTATAAAATGGTAAGAACAAGAAAATTTACAATATTCGCAGCATAGTCTCGTAAAATTGATTAATTGAATTCTGTCTCTGCACAGTGGACCCTTCCTAACAAAGCAAAACAACAAGATTTTATATCACGTGTTGATAAGTGCATTGCATTTGCACATGTTTATACGTATATATATATATATATATATGTATATATATATATTTATTTATTTATTTATATGGATGTTTTTATACAATTAGAAAATTACGGTTAATTCGAGTGGTATTAAATGGCAGGCGATCAAAGATGGAATTAGTTTCACTCTTAATTACGAGAAATGTATTTTAAAACCATTAATCTTTTGTTTTTTGTTAATTTTTAGAATGCTAACTTGCCCGCTGAAGAGCAAATGATTTCGGCTTTGCCTGATGTCAAGAAATTAATCGTAACGCCCGAAGATGAGTTTATGGTTTTGGCTTGCGATGGCATTTGGAATTTCATGTCTAGTGAGGAAGTTGTAAATTTCGTGCGCTTGCGTATTAAGGATAAAAACAAAAAGATTTCGCAAATATGCGAAGAACTATTTGATGCTTGTTTGGCCCCAAATACCATGGGCGATGGAACTGGCTGCGATAATATGACGGCAGTTATCGTGCGTTTTAAACCGGCTCTATTGGAACTGCCCACTAAAATTAATGCGAATGAAACTGAAGATGTTTTACAAGCTCGTCAACAGCAGCAGCAGCAGCAACAACAAAAACAATCGGAAGCCGAGTCTACAGCAAAAAAAGTTCAAAAACGAGCAATAGCACTGACCACCAGCAATGACGACTGCTGCGAAGCGGAAAGCAAACGTATGAAGACTGATGATAACGACGATATTGATACCACCGCCGCCAGCAATAAAGACCGACAGTCTTCTTCTAACGTATCAGATGTTACCACCAATTCCAACTGCTCATCTTCTTCTGCTTCTTCGTCGTTAGAAGATAAAAAAGAGAATGAAATAGAGGATATCAGTGTGAATGAAGCGCAAGCAGTTTCAAATGCAAGCTCGACGTAAAAACTCAATTCATAAACATATATATAGAAAAAAGAACTATCCACGTATATATAATTTTAGTTTCTCGTTTCGTTATTACTGCTTCACTAGGATTACATGTAGACACACAAACACACATACACACACACTCAGAAATAAATCTTCATACACCTACACCTTTTTGTCCTCATGTTCAATTTTCACAGTAAACTTAAAATGTTTTTTTATTTTACTTTGTTTTTTTTTTTTAATTAATTACTTAAGCTAGAGCACGATTCGAAAGAAAATTGGAATGAAAGTCTCGCAAGAATGTGCTTGTTGGAGAAAATTTTTATATTCAGTTCATCCACTACGATTATACTTTTAATTTTAATCTGTCTTTTCTTTCTCCTTAAATATGTTAAAAAAATTTTATTCAAATTTAAAAAAAAAAAAAAAAAAAAATTTTAATATAAATTCCTTGTTACTTATTTTTCCTTTTTGTTTTTCAATTAAATGTGAAATGTACGACTATATAATAATAATTTAGCGGTAATACACAATCGATATATATATAAATACATAGACTTAAAATTCTTGACCTCTGGAATATGGTTAATATTATAAAATAGTAAATAATATACGTACATGAAATTATAAAACTCGTAAAATATTTTAATAAAACAATCGATTTCCAAATAAATGTCAGTTTTATTACGGTGATGTTACAATTTCCTTTGTCCCATGAACACCAAAATTTTCCAGTCGGCTTGATGGTTATCGTAGTACAAAAGTAAATGGAAGAAGCTGCGCGTAAATCTAAATATAAAAAAAAAAAAATTTTTCTCGCCAGCATCGATGCTACAAGTAAATCTAATCTCTGCAAAAAAATGCGAATTTAGCTAAATTTTACGAAAGGAAATGTATTGTAAAGCATTTAATTCTCCAATCGCCTATTCATCTTTTTTGCACATATAGCGAAATGAAGAATTTGAACTGGTAACACTGCTATGATACGGCAACAGATAAGAAAAAATATTGCGTTTACCGCGTAAACAAGTTTCTCTAACATTTGTTGCGTCCGTCTCCTATTAGTTGATCAGTCGTAGTCTTCGCCGCTCGCGCCAGTCCCAATTTTCGCGCGTGCCATAGGTATATCCTCTTCGCCTTAAGAATTTGTCGAACACTTTAGAGCTATCATCAATCTCTAAAGATTCAATTAAAAAAGCCAACATATAAATAGAGAGAGAGCCAACATAAAATATTAAAAAAATTAAATAAAACAAACGCATGAATCCCGGCCGATTGAATACTTTGAGAAGAAGTCTTTTATAATATATTTTTTGTGATTATTTTATCAGCAATATAAATGATGTCTTCTTCATTATTATTATAAGATCATACACGCAACGTAACGAACAAGCATACGTATTTGATAACTAAATTCCTAAAAACGAGAAAGCCACGTCTTCAAAATGTGATTACTATTTTCAGATATATATATACATATATATATTTTTCTGTATTATATATTTCAAGCGAGTAAGAGAATTATTTGCACAAATTGTAACCCTGAACTTCTACGTGACTTTGATATCCACATATAGGGTAGGTGATAAATAATTAATTCAAATATGTTGAGACATTTGAAACTTTCCGAGACGCTTCTAGCGGAAAATCATGTAAAATTTGTAATATTAAAAAGAACGATTAAACGGCGTTTCAAGTTACCTTCCATTGATGTCTACAAAATATAAAAAAGCTTCAGCAGACGCAGCAAAGCATCAATTTAAGCAATTTCGTTCAGTCGGATGTAATCCCTCCGACACGTCCCCTTTTCCATCCTGATTGACGCTTTCATATCAAATGAATTAATCTTTGCTATGTTTTTTTTGAATTCCCAATAGTAGGTCTCCAACTCGATTTGTCTCTTCGGCCTACTATTGCTATCGTTAAGTAATTGGAATGAAATGAGTACAAGCTAGAACGCGGGATTTTTAGGATACCAGTATCCGGGTTCTCCTTGCGTTGCCTGTAACTTTAACTCTGTATAATCGTCGTGGAGCTTTAATAAAAATAATGATGTCGCAAAAAATGCAAAAATGCAATGTGAATTAATTTATTTTCTATTTTACAAACTTGTATAAAACTAAAGTAATTCACCTAATTTTTTGCCATGCTCTTCTTATAATCTTATGTAGGAAGCATTTATTAAATAAAACACAACAAAAATATTTTTTTTGCGATATTTCTTTGCATTAGAATAAATAAATTTTCGACATCCATTCAACTTTCCCACAATAACAACTTTTTTAAACATACACATTAACAACTTGTCTAATATCTCTTTCCCCTTGGCCTCCAAATTCACTGAATTATTTATTAAATAAAAAGTATAGAAATGAAATGTAGTATGTATGCCCACATCCTATTATTCGAAAACTATAAAAACTTTATTTAAACATATAATTTAAACTGTATAAACAACGCATACATGGTTGCTTCAGATGTTAACATACGTTTTTGTGCCTATCTAGTGCAAGATGCATATGCAAATGTGTATTCTACTCTCGTACATACATTTGTGTTGTAAATATACGTCATATGGCAATACATGCACAAGAATAGAGAAAATGTTGGAAAAGATTTATTAAAATTCATAAAACTTTCATCAGATGGTGTTCACTATATTTATTTTACAATTAACGCACTTTGGACAAATAATAAATTTTTTTACATAAGAAATATGCAGAATAAGTTTCAGCATTTGTTCTTGTTTATTTTATGTGTAATAAGTAGAAAATATTATTTTTATTTTTGAAGACATGAGTGGTTATGCTGCAGTGTGGCCATATTGCTTGACCGTTAATTTCCATTTCTTTTGCACATAACCTTCGTGCAAGAACAGTAATAATAATATATTTGTGCATCTACTATACATTCTCCATTCTATATCACAAATGTTGTTAGTGCTGCCAATATGAAAATAACGCAAGTGTACAATAGCTACACGTTATATTACAAATTGGTGCATAAATTATAAATGAGATATGAAAAATTCGTTTACTCTTAAGAAATTTACTCAGAGAAATTTCACAAAAATTTACTCCAAGCAGCCCATTTCAACGAGACATCTTTCATCTACGCTTATCTGTGAAGTTCGTCTTTGGTAACTTTAACTAACACGCACTCAATCATTCATTTATTCACTTCTTTCCATATTCAATCTTTTATTCATTATTCACTCCCTCACTCGGTCACACATTCACTCATTAGTTCATTCATTTATTCAAAGAAAAGTATTTCCAAAAGTATTGCATTTCTCGGTCAAATAGTTGGAAAATAGTTGTGTATTAATGCTGATAATGCTCCTTCTGTGTGTTTCCATTTTGTGTGTCGAAAATATTGTGACAATCTCGTACATCACCTTTCTCTCTTGCACCCACCACAATCCTTCAGTGATGAGTGGAAAAACGGCGACCCTAAAAAGTCAAATTCGATCTAGAAGATATCTAAAAATTGAAGTTTTCAGTTATGATATGGATTAAGTTCCCTTAAGTAATTCTGGATTGTTTGTCAAATCGATTTGACGTTTACTTGCGCTTTAGAAAATTTCCGAAACTGATAGAAAGATATTATTTTTTAGTGATTTTGTTCCTAAATGGCTACCGACATGCAAGAGAATTTCTGTAATCTATGCAGGCAAACGTCTTGTATTGAGGGCGATGATGTAATACTCTTTGGGAAATGGTTAACCAAGCACGACTTGACGGTACATTATTACTGCTTGCTCCTGTCCACGTACTTGCCTCAAAAAGGCACTAGTGACACTGCCGGCCTATTGGGTTTCTTATTGCGTGATATACGTCGAGAAATAGTGGCTGCTGCCAAACGCATCTGCATATATTGTTCGAAATCCAATGCATCTATACATTGTAGGAGTTGTAAAGTGTGTTTCCATTTAATATGTGGAAACGCCAATCGATGTATATCTCATTTTATGGGAGACTTTCATTCGTATTGTGACTCTTGTTTTCCTTTAGACGATGTCCAGAAAGCTTTATCAATTTCGAAGCCTTTATCGAAGCAGACGCGTTGTTATATCTGCGCCCAATATATGTTCGCATATCATCCGAAAAATTGGCTTTATGCTCCCTGCTGTAAAAATGGATTCGTTCATAACTTGTGCATGCAGAAGTATGCACTGAACGCAGGTTACTATTTGAAATGTTTGTGGTGTAAAAGTGTAGAATTTCGGAATGCTGTGAAATTGCAAGGCATATTTGTGCCAGATTGTGAGGCCAGTTGGGAAACTGAGCCCAACGCTTACCAAGATCTTCGTATGCGGCATAAACGTTGTGATATGAAAAATTGCAATTGTCCAAGAGGACGTGATTATATTCAAAAACCAAAATGGTCATTAATTTTATGCAATCTCTGCGGCTCCTTTGGTGCACATAATCCAACATGTATACCCGGTTTCGAAGATTCGAAGAAAAAGGTGAACAAATTTACATGTGACACATGTTTTAAAGCTACAAAAGAAATACATAACGTTGGCAAGACCAAATATTGCCGTGGATCACAAGAGATGTTCGGGGAGCGATTAGACTTCTCTGAGAGCATATCCTCTATAGTTTGGGCATCCGCAAGCTCCAATCAACAGCCTAATAGAGATGGGGATAACAATGCATACGTGGACAAAAGAGGAGATTGCCAAGGATTAGAAGAGACTTTGGACTTCCCTGAGAACACATCCTCTGTAGTTTGGGCATCCGCGAGCTTCAATCAACCCCTTAATAGAGATATGGATTATAACCTCCACGTAGACGAGGCGAGAGATTGTCATGGACCACAAGAGATGTTATGGGAAAGATTAGACTTCCCTGAGAGCTTATCCTCCTCTGCGGTTTTGGCAACCACAAGCCCCCATCAATTGCTCGATTCGATCAATGATGAGATTATCGAGCGAAACTTGAATGAGTTTCCAACAGATGAAAATTTCGTGAAACTGGAAATGTACGAATTCACCAAAAGTCTGTGCTGTTTGGACAAAGTTACAGTTAAACTTAAACCTAGCGATCCACGTTTTGCTGGTAAAACTGCGGAAGACATAAAACGCAGTAGCGACTTAATTACTGCAGACGATATAAGTGAACGCTTAGGTGATCTGAGTATCTTGGAGCAATTTGATGAAATTATTGATCAAAATTTATAGTGAAAATATGTAACTCTTCAGTAAATTTATTTTGACTCGAAACTAAGCTCGCTACCTGTACTGCCTAAATTAGAACTGAGAGCAAATTTTATATATGAAACTCAAGATAGAAGAGCTCCGCAAAATAGGAAACCATCTATTTTTTTTTAGTTTCGGACTGATCTTGTTTGGGACCTTGTGTCAATGGGATCAGAAATCAAAAAAGCTCTCAAGATCTATTGTACAAATGAGATCAATGCTATCTCATTGACTTTTGATATTTCAATTACTTTAACAGAATAGAGTGAATACACACCTCAACGCGGAAATATTATAGACTCATCTTTAACCCCAACTAGCATTTCTCATACATCCAGTTGCAGCGGACTTTCTCTTTCTTTTCTTTTTTTTTGATTGTAAAACGTATGCAAATCCAGTTGACAAAAAGAGAATGTTGCGTGAAGTTGTAGCAGATTTTATGTCGATCCGGTTACCAATCCGTACGAAACTCTCTAATAGGTCTTTCTTTCTTTCTTTCAGTTCTCACGACCTCTTAGGCAGCTGTGATGTAATCTTTGGCGGTGCCCGTTCAGATGATACAAAAAAGCTCGGTGCTTTCGAGCGACGATATCTTGTCTCCTTAGATATCTTGTTTGGAGAATATATCTTTCTTATACCATACACCCTACACACCCGGAGTACGAGGGATATTAAGTTTGTGCGGACGTAACAGCCAGAATGGCTTAAAATAGATGCACCTTTTATTAAGCCGAACAATTCAGAATCATTTTATGTATCAATCTAAGCTTCTCTGTCCATCTGATGTTTGTTCACATATTTTTGTGTTCAACCTATAGGACGAAATTTTTAAAATATTTTGATGGCACTTGGTACGCTGACTTGTTTTGTCCCAAAAATGATTCGGATCGGCATACTTCTTCAACTACTCTTCATAAAAAATTTGATAGTTTGAAAAGATTGCATTTTCACAATATCTCAGCAAAAACCGCCGAGTAACAGTCTTTCCACATTCTAAATTAGTATCAAAAATTGGGCTCGCCAGGGACAACTTTGTGAAACCCGCTTAAGTAGCTGTTCCTACCAAAGCTGAATCTTTATATGATCCAAAGAATAATTTTTAGTACTTGATGGTGGAAGTTAGTTCCTAAGAGTAAATTGACATAGAAATCAACCCCACCGAATACATAGAGCTACTTTTTGGATACCACCGTGTATAAAGATCCGTCCAATGTACGGGCTTTCATGGAAAGTGTACCTTTGCACGAAAATAATGCCTAACTTTGTGTGTTATCACCAAAACGAGTGAATTGCTGTGCTTGGCGCATTGGTGTAGGATATCTAATTGTCGGCCTTGCACGACTATAATGCTCTTATTTATTTTTGTACTGTATTACTTTTAAATTAAGAAAATTATTGTGCAAAGAATACGTACCGGGGGGCCAAGCTTGTCAAATAAATAGGCAACTTGCCATACGCTATGTCTCATGTTTGACGTAAGAAAATGCATAAAATTATATTATGTTAAATAATGATAAATGTCTCATAATAAACCTATTTTTCAATTGTTAAAAATTTCTTCATACTCCTATAGAAAATTTTCGGTGAAATACAATGAAATTCAGAATTTCTTAATGGGACGTGAGGTATAGAAAAAACTGACACGAAACCAATTACATTTGCCATTACATACCTGTGCACTTGGTGCGCTTATTTGTACATAGCATATATGCATTTAAAAACACAGAGTTGTCCTTGTTTTGTAAATATTTAATACAGTGTGACGTTATATCGAGAAATTTTTAACAGAATTTTCCTCATACAAATAAGAAAAATGAAAGAGTAAACAGTTAATGCGTTGACAATACAGCCTCACTTCCATCGAAATTCCTGAGAAGTCTGCAATTTTGCAAATTAGCTTAGTATTTAGTCTCTTTGGTGGAGTTTACTACCATAATAATGATGTCCACAAATTTTTTCTGATTAAGAAAATATCAAAAATTTAAGCTATCGTTTCACAATTAAAGAAAGACAGAAAAGAGTGATAAGACGGACAGTAAATTAGGGAAAACCTCAAAACCATACGACAATAAAAAATATATGATAGGCGTTTATGTCAAATAAAAGAAGAATTAAAGCAAATTAAAAGTTATCTCTGCATAAAAAGAGAAAAATTGGATAACAACAAGATTATATTTTTTATGAAACTTTTGCTTCAATTTACTAATAGGAACTAAAAAGCACCAAAATTGCTACACTAGAAGCGGTGGGTGCAGTGGGCGGAAGTAACGCCAATAGCACTGCGACTGCTACTGTGTCTAACGTATTGGCTAATGTTGATCATTACTGGTATACATGGTATACATATAGTATACTTTTCGGTCGTATGGTATACTTTAGATTACAGCAAATTATACCCAACAAACATTTGTGTTTTTATTTATTGCTTTGGGGATATTCTCTGGCATTAGAAAGGTTTTTTGTTTTACGCGATATTGGCAATTCCTTTAAGGCGAACAAAAGCAGGAAGAAGCAAGCAAGGGAGACGATTTTCATAAACTTTGCTACTGACTAGCTTAATTTTCTTTTCTGTTTAATTTCGTAATTAATTTTTAACTAATTAATGGAATTTTACAAACAATATTAAAAGCAAAAAAAGTTGAAAACTAAGCTCAACAAACTGAAGAATAACTGCAAGAAAATTTAGGTAAACGCCATCAAGAAAGAAACTTTCCGTGTGTGGTATTGGTTAAAAAAAAAAAGAAAAAAGAAAATGAGAAATGTAATCAATTTTATTGACAAAATTCTAAGGAGGAATAGATTCTTAGCTTAGTGAATCATTCACCGATTTTCATCTCTAACGTGTTCATTGCTTATTACCGCATAAACAATAATTGTAATAATAACTTCGTGCTTGTGCGGTGCATATTTTATAATTTTTTCTTTTTCAATTAAATTATATTAAATTAATCATATCTTTGTTTCGTCTTTCTTTTCCATGCAACAGAAAAGCAAAAGAATTTCCCATAGTTTCCTTTCAATTAATAAATATTCGACTGATTCAACTGATATTACTTAGTGTGTGCAAGTGCGTGCGTGTGCGACTATGCACCCGATAGTATCACATAGTCTAAATTCGCTGGATCGGTTTACAAAAGCTTCTACATCTAGCAAGGATTCATCATTAATAAATAACAGTTTGGTTGCTGTTAGTCGTACGTTGGAAGGAAAATTACAAATTACTTCTAACTCTTACGAACAACTGGTGTTATTACCGGCTTCAAAAATGTCAGGCGATCAAAAAACTTTGATAAAGGGCCACAGTTCTCAATATGTAAAATTGAACGTTGGTGGTTGCTTGTATTACACGACTATAGGAACATTAACTAAGCATAATGAAACCATGCTAAGTGCAATGTTCAGTGGACGCATGGAGGTACTGACCGACGCGGAAGGTAATATCATTCTGAATGCATTTAAAGAAAATTCTTAATTCCGCTCTTATTATATATAGGATGGATATTGATTGATCGTTGCGGCCAACATTTTGGCACCATTTTGAATTATTTGCGTGACGGTACAGTACCGTTGCCCGAGTCCCATAAAGAAATCGCTGAACTTTTGGCAGAAGCTAAATACTATTGTATTACAGAATTGGCAATGTCGTGTGAAAGAGCCTTGTTAGCTCATCAAGAACCAAAACCCATATGCCGTATACCTTTAATAACTTCGCAAAAGGAAGAGCAAATGTTAATCAGTTCTTCTTCGAAGCCTGCTGTTATTTTGGTGGTACAGCGTCAGAATAATAAATACTCGTACACCAATAATTCCGACGATAATTTGCTCAAAAACATAGAACTTTTTGACAAACTTTCCCTGCGTTTCAATGAACGCATTCTTTTCATTAAGGACGTTATAGGTCCAAGTGAGATATGTTGCTGGTCTTTCTACGGTCACGGTAAAAAAGTTGCAGAAGTATGCTGCACATCGATTGTATATGCTACCGATCGTAAGCACACAAAAGTGGAATTTCCGGAGGCGCGTATCTACGAGGAGACTTTACAAGTACTATTATACGAGAATCGTAATGCTCCAGACCAAGAACTTTTGCAAGCTACCTCATCCGTACGTAATCCATCTGGTGGAGGTTCATCATCGGGTGCTTCTTGTGCTGGATCGGGTGGCATGCATCAATATACCAGCGATGAAGAAGAAGAACGCAGCGGTTTGGCGCGCTTGCGCTCAAACAAACGCAATAATCCCACATGATTTTCACGAACTTATCATGTACTACCATAGCTATGGCGCGGCGGCGGCAGTAGCAACAGCGGCTGGGGTAGTACCTGAAACCTAAGCGAAGACAAGATATATTTAGGATTCTGTCGCTTTATAAAGGGTTTCTTAATAGCTTTCTTTCTTTTGATGATTGCTCTGATAAAGGTTCGGTGGAAGCATAATCAGAAGAAAAAATGCTTTTAAAATTGTTAAGTGTTCATCTTAATGTCTAAAAAAAGAAAATTTACGAAAGATTAATTTCCAATCTTCCAGTGCCCCTCTGCCTCATTTTTATTTTCAATTAAATAATTTTTACTTATTCTTGTTCAATCTACTAAATGAATACAAAAAATCATTCAATAAAACAAAAAAAACTCAAATATTGTTAGAAGAAATAAAAAAGCATGTAGAAAATTTTGAATTATATATATTTATATACGCGACTCCTATAGAGCTATCATTCCGTAATGAGGGCCAATTTAAGGGATGAAAGTGCACCTTTGGCCGACGTTGTGTTATTTTAGTTGTCTGTCTCTCGTGACTACCAATTCAAAAATTTGTCTAAAATATTCTTCTTCAGACTAAATCCAAAAGCTAACAAAATCAGTCTATCACAAAACTATTAACAAGTTTTCGAGGACTCAATTTAAGCGGAGTACGACCTCTTTCTGGCAACACTTAGTAGCATGCAAAAGCAAGTTTTATATTCCATAGCTTATTTATAAGGTTATGCCTTTAATTAATTAATTTTGGGGTAGATCTTAAGCCAACGTAGGTAATTTTCGAACTCAATTCGAAATTTTTAGTAAAAAAAGATTTAAAGCATGAAAACGCTGTAAATAACTATTTGTGGCTGCGATCTAAGAAAAGAAGAGAATGAACGGAAGATTCTTGTTTCTGAAAGTTGTAAGTCTAGGATTTTGAATTTGGGAACAAAAAACTTACGACAAGCTTATCTACTAAGATCGTAACCGAGATTTAAAAATGACGGCAAGACAGACATGGTCATATATACTACCTTACCTTTCCGATGAGTATTTCTATGTATTGCAAAGAGTAAATCTAATGCATTACCTGTCGCAGCCAAGTAACCACGGCAACGACACCCAAAGTCGAACGGCAAACATAGAAAATTTTTTCTTTAAATTTAAAGAGCTATGGCCGAGGAACTGCAAAAAGCGGGTTTATTTATTGATGACATTTATAGGCTACGAGTTCAAGATCCTCGTATAGCCAATGAGACGAATGAGTTGCGCGAAGAATGTTTGGAATACGCTAATAAGTTGCAAGAATTTAAAAGTCTGGCCGAAGAGTTCCATAAGTTACTTTATAATTATGGTAAAGATGTAGAAAAGGAAAAATTAAGAGCCATAGCCACGCAAAACCAATTGAAGACTATGGCCAAGCAACGCCTAGCGGAGCAGCAAATGTATCAGGTAAAGTTTGAGATTAAATATCAAAATTTGTTTAATGTCATTACTTTCCCAGAGCAAAATCCATGAGAAAAATCTGGAATTGGAACGCTTAAAAAGTGAATATCAATACTTGCAACGCATTGAATCGGAGCAGCAAGAAGTCATCAATTGCTTCCTAATGAATCAATAAATCGTTTTTCAACAAAATTTAAGAGTTTAACACATAATATCTTTAAGTGATAAAACATTTTTACGATAACATGCATAACTGCATAAAGGCAGATTCGTTTTAGAGCAATTGTAAACCTTGGGTTTTCCGCAGCCAACAATGGCACATAATTTTTTTGCTGGTGGATCTTTGTAAATTTTTCTTTGTAAAGGATATTCTACACCTGCAGGCATTTGTATAACGGCTCCTTCTAAAGTGTTGCGATATCTTATCATTGGTTGATTACTTTTTGTGGATTTAGGTTTATTGGATGTTCTTTGTTTACTTTCTTGCTTTTTCAATAGACGCTCCATTGTTTTCTTTTTATCCTTTTCACGCTTCTCATCGGCCAATTGCTTACGTTTCTGCGATTTTAACTGAGCTTTTTGTATTTCTTCGGCAGTTTGAGGTTTTTCTTTTTCTTTGTAACCAATAGGTAGAGCTACCAGAGATTCCGCAAATCCAGCCGTAGCCTCGTTATCATTGTTACGATCGTATATAGCCCGTTGACGCGCTGTCATTAATTTAGGATCTTTGATTTTTTTTAACTCAACATCTTCGACTTCTTCCAATTTGCCTGCTTCTATGGCCGTTAACCAACGTTCTTCTTCGCTTGATGTGCCACTGTCACGACGTTTTCGGGGCTTCTTAATATTAATATTAGGATGAGGAGTCTGAATATTTTCTCTTTTATTAACTGATTTCTTAGAACTGCAAGGTTTTTCATTTTTATTCTGTAATGCTCCGCCATTGGAGCTGGTAGAGGCTGAGATATCTGTTGTTAATGTTACTTTCTCCTCCTCTTCGGCTTCGATATGAACGTTTTCGTCGTCGTTAAATGAACTATGAAGACTCGAAGCGGCAGCATCCTTGTTGTGGCTGTCATCCTCTTCATCAACTTCAAAACTATCATCCGTAGCGGGTGTTTTAATTTTATTTTTATTAATAGGTTTATGATTTTTCGATTTTTTTTTAGCCATCACAATATCTGCAAATTATTGGACCCTTAATCAGAACATAACTATATTTTTTAAAATGTATTACCATCATTTTTAGGCATTTTGTTTATTATTCTTAATTTCTGTAAATATCAGCCGTGTTCTTTTATAATTAAATATGGACAGTATTGTCAGCAGAGAATTATAATCAAATTACTTACCATTCGATAAAAAAACTACGAGAAAACAAAGACGGAGCTTACTTTATTAAATAATTATTTATTAAAAATATCCTAAAGAATTTTTTAGAAAATTTATTTATTTTTTTTCACTCTGGAACTATAAATTTAAAAAATTTCCTAAAATAAACTAAAATACTTGTCCTCTTCTGCTCCTTAAAAAATCTATGATATATTTTTCATATATCGGTAAATTTGTTTAACTAACTTGTATTATTATATTATGGGCGGCATGAAATTACCACATTTCGGAAAGTTAACTGGAACTGGTGGCCAATCATATTTATTTCCTACTTGAAATATTAAATTCATGCCGATAACAATGTGGTACTGAAAGTGGCAATGAAACAGCCAAGCACCGGGGTTATCAGCTCGAAAACGCAATACGGTGTAACCATTATTTGGTACGGCAATCGTGTCGCGTAATGATGGAGTTATATAATGTCGCTCAAGCAAACCTCGACGATCTAAGTCCATAGCCAATTTTAAATTCATACGAGTATTATTTTCTTCTAAAGCTCGTCCCATACCGATTACGTAGAATGGAGATCCATGCAAATGAAACGGATGACTTATATTGATTTGTTGCACTTCATCGATTAATACTACTTCTATAATCGCATTCAGTGGTAAATCGATTTTATGAACGCATTCACAATTTTCACCGCAATTAGCCGGACGGTTATCGCCATTGCAGAAAACGCTTTCTGGTATGTCATCGTATTGTGAAAGTATTGGTGATGGCGGCGAGATATACGATATTTCGTCGATCAGCGAAATTAAATGATCAGCATCTGAAGCAACTGACATAAAAATAAATTTGATATATATATGTATATATATATATAAAATAAGTTTCTTCATAGATTCGATCTTCTGTCATAGATAGATTTTTGTTGTTGCAAACTTATTTACTAACTTAATCAATATCCTTGTTACCTAACATATGTACACATATTTATATAATGAGGCAGCTTTCTAAAAAAACCAAGCTTTGTGTTAAAGAATGTAGAAGATCGACTGTCTCCTTTTGAAGAATATTTACTTCCTAAATACAAAAACTTATCAAGAAAAATTTTGTTTGGAAGTGATTCCAAATTCAGTGAATCTTTAGTGAGGTTTCCATACCAATATGGTGATAACTTGGATACATTCGAAAAAAATTGTTGTTTGGATGCATTACCCTAAAATTTTGTTTAGATTTCGAAATGTAACAAAATGTAAAAAGCAATTGTTTATCTACATTATTTTTACATATTTATATACACTGTTCTTTTTTTTTACCGAAATGAATTTAAATGGCGATCATTAATAACATGCAGCGATATTTAAAACGAATATATTTGTCTGAACAGAATAGTTTAACTAACTCTTTACTCGAAAACCATTTAACTATTTGAATCTATTGAAAACAAGTAACAACATTATGATTCGGCAAGCCGATAATTAGATACACTACACCACTTGGCTTAATATAGTTATGCATTCGTTTTGGTAATAATACACCAAATATTTTACATTATTTTGCTGGCGGGACATACTTTTTACGAAAGCCTGCTTATTGGAAACATCGCATGGTGTGATCCAATTTAGCGACGTTAATTTAGATCCTAAAAATGTTATTATTTTTCAGTTTCCGTCATGAAAAACTGGAAATTAAGCTTTTGCTTGTGTCAAAGCAGTATGCCGTATTACATCAAAAGGCTTCAAATATTGCGGCCTTAGGTTTAGGTGAACACAAATATATATGGACAGTCATCAGAAGGAAAAACGGACAGATAGGCTTAGATCGATTCAAAAAATGGTAACAAAACCTGTGGGTATCACAAATCCTTCTGAATGTTACATACATCCTGCACTACAAGTGATGTGGTCTATAAAAATGAGGTGAGCACAATGGACCTTTCGTTTCGGGTTAGACTAACCTGCATAACGTAATTAAACGTTTTGATTAATATTAATTGCGAAAAGAATATGCAAAATCATATACAATTTTTTCTCATTAAAGATTTTCCAATGCTTTAATTTAATTTAATCTTGCTCAAATAAAATCGTTTACAAAATGAATGAAAAGCAAAACGTAAGAGAGTTTTGCATGGGAACAAAACTAAATGAAACACTTATTATTGTCTTACTGTCTGTGCTCTGTTGTGTCTCTGGTGGCATTATTCTCATTACCGTTACTTGAATATCGTCAATTGTAGACTTAAGAAAGTGTCTGTTTTTACAAAAACTCAAGCGTACAATATATTTTTATAACTTAAATTAATTCTAATAAACTTGTGGAATAAAAAGTAAAACTCTTTTTTTTATTTAATAAAAAGATAAATAAGTTTTGAAAACAATAACAAAGAAGAGGAAAACAAAAAACTTAATAATAAGGAAAAATATCACTATGTAGTTATGCTTTATGTATAATTTTTCATTCAATTGACATTTTTATCTGTTTGTTTAAATATTTAACTAAATGTCTTACAAGTGTAGTGTTAGAATAAACATGAATATAACGGCAAGATGATAGTTACGAGTTATGCGTATTTAAAAATTCTTTTGGTAAGAGCTGGCATATAATGAATTATGATATTTACAAAAAGAGAAAAAAAGCCTTAACTACATACATACAAATTATTTAACAATAGATTTCGACTGAGAAGGACACATCTCTCGTTTTTTCTTCCTCTCTCTCTCTCTCTCTCTCTCATATCCTTAGTTTCGTTTTGGTTTTTCAGAGAGAGATTTAGGGATATATTGTTACAGGAGGTTTGTGATCACCACACGTCGGAAATTTATCCGGAACGGGTGGCAAGTCAGCTTGACTGCCTATCTGAAATACTAAATTCATACCGATAACAATGTGAAAGAGAAAATGACAATGGAATAACCAATAACCCGGATTGTCGGCTCGAAAACGCAGCACTACGTAACCATTGTTTGGTACAGCGACAGTATCCTTAAAAGGTGGCTTGGTAAAATCGCGTTCTAGCATACCCATACGATCCAATTCCAAAGTATGTTTCAAATTGATTTTCTTAATTGTTTTATCTGGGGAACGACCCAAACCCACTACATAAAAGACGGTACCATGCAAATGAAATGGATGACTGAGATTGACTTGTTGCACTTCGTCGACGAGAACCACCTCAACCACTGCACCCAACGGTATATCGACTTTATGGACGCATTGGCAATTAGGTTCACAATTGGCTGGACGATTATCGCCGTTACAAAAATACTCTGGCGGTATGTCATGTATTTGCGAGAGCATTGGCGACGGCGGTGATATATATGAAATTTCATCAATAAGCGATAATAAATGATCTCCGCTGGGAGCCACTAAAAATTTTTAATATTTACATTCGGTTTCGTAAAAGCAAAAAGGAAAAAAGAGAAAAACGCTGTCGTTTATTGACGGTTGTTGTTTGTTTTTTAATATTAGAAATGTGTATGTAAAGAAAATGAACAAGAAGAAGCAAAAAAAGAAGAAGAAGAAGAGGATCATGATTGCGAAATATTCGACGGTTTTCGTTGTTTCTTTTGCAATCGTTGCTACTTTCTTCTAATGTTAGTTATTAAAAACAAAAGAAACATAAGAGAAGAATGAAATCAGAGAGTACTGCTTGTTCCGTTCGCCTTACTTACCCAGATAGCGATTATAAGTGTTTGCTATGAACAAATTACGCGGTTCGTAAACATGAAAACGGAAAGGTAAAAAGATTTTTACATCTGGCCTTTCGATCAGAACGCTCTTATCCACCGCTTTGGCATTCTTTAAATGCGATACGCATATGGCGTCGTTACGTTTACGATCACAAACAGCATCGAGTGGGTTTAAAACCTAAAAATTATAAACAAAAAGAGAAAAAAAGAGAAAACAAAACAAATATGCTAATGAGACTATTAATAAGAATATTTCGTGGTGCATGAAGCTAGATGAAATTGTCCCTTTGCTCGATTTAAAGGTACAAGGTAAGTTATACATATACATATTACGGAATTTACTTACCATTGTTGCCTTATTTGAGACTAAATATATTTTGGAGACTTATTTTTACAATTTATACTAACCCTTAGCACTCTTAATTAGAGGGAATCATATTAACTTAAATGAAAAGTTGCATTACAGGCAAAAATTTTTGTCCGACTTAAGATTCTCGAAGCGATTTGCATTTTATTTTCTTTCTTTTATACCCTACACCACGTGTACTAACTATCCGCAGACTTGTAATAAAAATTTAAGAGAGTTTTTTTTTAAACAAAAAATACCTTTGAGCAATTGTGAACATTTTGAATTTGTTAATTAATTAAAATTAAGTTTATTTTCAAACTTTCAAATAGCGGTAGAAGAAAATTAAAAACCTTTGTTTGACGAATAAGAGTAGAAAAAGGAAGAGAAAATCCCCCGAAGATTCATAGATCGAATAAATGTCAAATAAAATTCATTAATGTAAATTTAAGTGAGTTGAAGATCGAGTCGATTGCAATATGGATGGAAAGATGCTGGAGCGCCCTTAAGATTGACTATATATTGAGTAACATGGTTCTCTTTAACCCATACTTTCTGTTATTTTATTTCCCCCAAAGAAGGTGGATTCCGTTTTTTTTTTTTATTCTCTCAAGTGAAGTTTGCACAATTGATGAAAGACAAAGAAACCCATGGCCGAAAACAAGTGTCCCGGCAAAATTGTACGTAGAAAGATAGTTAAAAGCCTATCAAAACTAAGTTAAAACGTTGCTCACGGCCGATTTTTATTTAACGTATACCACTTCGTTTGACGCCCCACATTCATTATATTTTGCCATGAAATACCAAAAATTGAATCTTGCTTTTATATAAAGCTTACTTTTGAGGAGCCAAATAATACGATAGAATCCATTTTATGGATCAGGATACGTCATTTCCTGTTAGACAGACGGGAAGATAAACGGACGGGCAGATGGACAGACGGACTTAAATCGCTTCAGAGAATGTTTCTAAAAAAATTAAAGTTCCTCTCAGGTTTTGCCGGGTCTTGTGCACGTTCAAGGACAGTTAATAAGCGCTTGTACTAGGAACGATATGGGCTACAGTCAGGAGATAATTGGCATCAAATATAACCCTTGAAAATATTTTAATCATGATGAAGAGTGAAGTTATGATTTTCACTTATAATTCTTATATGGATTTCATTTCTTCATATCCCATAAATGAAAAAGAGTGATTGATAGTACATCTCCGCTAAGAATAAGCAGTGTATTATATTATAGAGGAGAACATTACATAACATAACAAACAAAACTTGTGCTAAAAATGTTTATACAAAAGTGCTTATTACTTATGCGATTTATATACAGGCGTTTTATTTATTTATTTGTTTTTCTATTTTTTTTTTTTACATAAATGTGTAGTGGAAAAAATCCTTGGATATAAATAAGGTTTGGTTTTTTTTTTTTTTTTATTATTTTATTTTCATTTAAATTATTTTACAATTAATTAATAATATGGAAGAAGGCAATAAAGTAAAATTTGTAAACTTTAGTAATTTACATAAATTTACAACAAAGATGGATAGAAAAGCTTACCGAAAACGTTTAAAGTCTAAAAAAAAAAAAAAAAAAAAAAAACAGAGTGGATAAGAGAATAAAATATAAAAACATCTGTGCTAAGGAGAATTGCAGGAAAATAGGGAACTGTTATGTATACAAAAAAAAAAAAAAAAAAAAAAAACGAAAAAAACCTTTTTTTTTTTTTTATTTGCAGAGTATGTATGTACATAATGTAGATAATAAAACAAAATACAAAACTATTGCGCAGTTCTTTCTTTTTATAATAATATATATATAAAAAAAATTAAAATTAAAATTATATAAAACATATATAAATATGAAAAGAAAAGATAGGAAAAAATTACAGGAGTATTATAGTTTAAAAAAAAATAAAAACAAAAAGAGGGGAACATTATACAAACAATATTTATATTAACATCATATAAAATTAAATTTTCAATAATTTACAAAACAAAACTAGATTTGAAACGGAATTAAAAGCCTTGAAGATAAATTTAAAAATAAAGGCGGAATTGTATGTTATAAACAATTAACTACTGTCGGTGTATATATATATATATATGTGCTAATAGTAGTAGTGTCCATTTGTATGTAAAGTTTTATTGAAAAAAAAAAAAAAAACAAACAAGTAATTGATAATTATATGACTTGCTGTGCATACAAGTAATTGAAAGTCTCAAAAGTATGCTCTTTAAGTTCGGCACCGGTTTAAATAACTTTAACTTTCTATTGTATACACTACAGACAATGTGAGAGAAGCGACAGAGAAGAAACATGGAAACATTTAAGCTAAGAAAGCTTTCCTTTGTAAAGCTTCTAAAGCTTCTTAATTAACAAAACTTTGAAAATGATAAAATTTTGTAAGTTCAAGTAGTCTTTGAACAACATATCTGACATTGGTTTCTCATTCTCAAACTATCCATGATATGTCATAAATGAGAGGATGAGTTTTTTTTTTTTCTCTTAGATACCCATCACCGAAGAACGAAGGGATATATTCATTAAGTCAAAACGTTTGCTGCGATCAGAAAGAAGCTTCACAGATTTTGTTCTTAATCAGCTTCAAATTTTGAATTGATTTAAGCAGGTCTATCTGTCCGCCTGTCCGTCTATGTACTACTTTCTGGCTAAAAAAATAAAGCTATCGACTTTAGACTTGGCAGAAATATAGGAACCTTTCGCACGCAGGTTCCATGATGTACCAGATGGATCGAACGATAAGCCTACACTACCACATAAACTGAGAACACCTTTGTTTTCCAAAATGAAAAAAATGATTTTTTTTTTTTTTTGGTAATTACTCAAAAACTACAGAAGATAAACTTGGAAAATGGAAAAAATCGGCAACGACTACAATATTAAATTGTCTCGAAATTTCACTTTTCTGTCCAGAAATCCAGAATCAAACTTTAAAAATCCCATAAAGCATACATATTCTTGACTAGTGTCAAATCCATAAGGTACCTTAACATGTCCTGCTGCTCGTATACCTGTCTGTGTATCTGATCAACCGTATAGTTTTTATGGTAAACGTATGCACTTTGAAAAAATTAAGATAAGGTCCATGAGTTTGCAAAAGAATTTGAAAATGACGTCTGCAGATACATGATATTAATTTCCATATTTATTTAAGGAAAAAGTCAGTTGTGCACAGGGAGTAGGGGAATTCAGTTTTCTTCCTAGCTTTTTTTCTGTTCTTTTGTAGTTAGTTTTTAGTTTTTTAATAAAACGGTGATGGGTATAAGTGATTCGATCGTAACCGAATATAATTTTCTTATTTGTTTTCTTTTTCCGTTTGAAAAGATATTGAATATTTTTTTCTTTTATTTTATATTCACTTACAAATCGGGTGAAGGACAAAATCTTTTCTTGGTGTAAATATATTATGTTCCTCTCTGTTTCCGTTTTTCTTATCTAAAGCGCATTTTGCTTTCATTTCGTTTATTGTACACATTTAGGGAGTTTTTGTAAATTACAATAAAAGCTTTAAACTTTTCGTAAAGCTTTATTTAAGAATAAAATACAGAACATGAAAAGAGAAGGGAGAGAAGCACAAGTCAAGAGGTCTTTTGCTTGCTAAACATTGAAAACCTTTTCTTAGTCTCCGAGCAGAGTAATGAATTTTTTCTTTTGTTTGATCTTCACTTTTTTCGCATTTTTGCCCGTTAACTTCATTTTTTCTAAAATTTTGCTCTCCGGCTTTTTCTGTCATTTATATTTTTCTCTTCTATTAAAGATTTAAAGGGAAATGTTCCTAAAAAACCATTAACACCTATTAATTATTTCAAGTAGGATTGGGTTGTAAGAGAAAGACAGAGATAGTGAAAAAGAGATAGTGAAAAAAAGAGAGAGAGATAGATAGATAGATAGAGAGAGAGAGAGAGAGAGCTAGAGCAAGAGCAAAAGAAAGTGAGCGTGAGAAGGAAGGAATTAGAGAGAATAGTTAAAGTTAATTAATTGGTATAGGCGGTGTATGATCACCGCATGTAGGGAAACCGGGAGGAACAGGCGGCATGTCAGCGTTTGTACCCACTTGTAATATTAAATTCATACCAATAACAATGTGGAACAAAAAGTGACAATGGAATAACCAAAAGCCTGTAAAAGAAGATAGAAGAAAAAAGAAATTAATTATAATAAAAATCAAAATTTTTTTATTTTTTTTTTATTTTTACTGCTCGCTTAATTACCTGGATTATCAGCTCTAAATCTTAGGACTACGTAACCGTTGTTGGGTACAGCAATGGTATCCTTGGTGGGCGGTAAATTGTATTGTCGGTTCAATAGACCGCGTCTATCCAAATCTAAAGCGTGCTTTAAGTTAATCTTTTTCACTGTCATATCGGGCGAACGTCCAATACCGACTACACTGAAACCGTATCCATGCAAATGGAAAGGATGTGATAAATTAGGCTGTTGCACTAAAAAAGAAAAGGAAAAAATTTACATGTTAGATAAGTATAGCTGTTGAAGTTTCGTAACATTTTAAAGAAATGTATTTCGAAAAAAATTAACTTTCGCGCCAATTAGGGACTTTGAGAATATTTAAGAAAAATTTGGGTAATTTTCTCTCAGAGAAAAACGAAAAATCAGTTAAGGTATGAAAATTTTCCGTTTCAAACATTTTTAAGTAACCGAAAAGCTTGTAGGAGGCGACATGCCACCTTTAAGTATCTTACACCACCCTTCATATAATGACTTTTCAAATTAGGGGAGATTGGATTGCAATGCTTGAGTAATGCAAAAGAGCCAGAAAGCAAATATGTTCTCAGCTTGTGTTCCATTGTAGGCGTGTAATTTGACTAATTTGGGTAATTTTCAAATTTTTTGCTAAGGTTGAAGGCGATATCTTCATCTTTGCCAACGCGAGAATGTTTACCACAGATACCAAGCAGTAGGGTAGGCGTTCAGACGGATATGCTTACGTACATTCCGGATTTGGCAGTGATCTGCTGTATATGTACTTTATGGCGCTTTTGCAGCTTGCCTATAACGGCTTGTTATAATGGCTTCAAAAAAAAAAAATAAATAAATAAACGGATGCGCTATAATATTGAGCAAGCGTTGGCAATTTTTGTTTAACTGCAGGCAGGATCGCCACTTTTTCATTCAAATATTGATAATTTTATCCGGTGCAGTTTATTTGTAATGAGTAAAAGACGGATTTTTTTCATTTAATAACCGAGGTGTTTTTAAGCCATGTGAAACGGTAGGCGTGTCCTTCGGCCGATTCCAATACCAATCCACGTGCAACGACTTCCAATGTTTCTGTCAACTTTCAAGTCGATAAATTTAATTTTGGCTCAAGGAAAAATCTTTACAATAGACTTTGCATAGACCGACAGATGGACAGACTGGCATGTTTAAATCGATTTAGAATTTAATGCTGCTTGAAAATATGCATACTTCGCGAATTTCCTGAAGCTTAACAATGAATATACCTCCAAGTTTAGATTGTCCAAAGATTGCCAAGGCGTATAATTGAAAAAGAACAGAAGCAAAACGGAGGTTGACGTTTACGGAATGGAACAATGTGCTTAACAATTGTGCAGTGTTTCTTCATAGGCTGTATGGGATTTTTTGTCGTCATCATTTTTGTTTTCTTTTTTTTTTTATAGATAAATATCGATCAACGGCGTTGCCAGCGTAAACCGCCCTTCGAAAATAGATCATTATGGCTTTTGATAATTGGATTGACCAAGGGCAGGCGCCTGTTTTGTCTGTCAAGGAAGCAATTAGGGATTTCAAAGAATGATGTCTCGCGGCGACCAGGGTTTCTTGTTTCATTTTAAAAAGTGGCCAATCACGCGAGAAGCGGAGAGTCGTAGCAGTCTAGTGGATGTGCGTCCAGATCCTAGCTCTCACTACAGCTACTGCCAAGTGTGGTCAAACGGCAGTGAAATTTAAACCCACGAACTTTGACGTGGTAATCACGATTCTTATCTATCCGGGTAAGGAATTAGATGCGACAGCTTTGACAATCGAATTATTTAAGACGAGGTTTAATGAAGAGCTTATTTCCGTTAAAGAGTCTGGAAAAGTATTGGAAAGTCCCTTCATTTTTATGCTTGCTATAGCTTCCAGTTATCTATTAACTAATAAATTGAAATAACGCAGAGAATAAATGAACAATTGTGATGATACTCAACTCATGGTTATTCGTTGGCAATAATATTGAATACCAATCATTATAAAATGGGGTCAAAGTCATGAAAATTAATTAAAAAAAAAAAAAAGAAAAATCGATTATCCCATCGATGTCATGAAAAGTATAATATTCAAAGTCATGTTCAATACTACGAATTTATCCACGCTGTTGGCCCCTTTGAATGCTAAATATATATAATTGTGCACTTTGGGCGGTGCAGCACCACCACCGCCACCAATAGTACTATTACTACCATTTGGCAAATAAAGTTTTCGAGTTTTGTTCTTACGTAGCAACTGAATGGAAACAATAAGTGAGTAACCACCGGTGTAAGTAATTGTCTTTTAAGGTGTTTTGATTTTTTAAGGCAATAACAAAATAACAGTGATTTAAATAATTACGCCTACAAAATGGTAACAACAACAATAAAAAATAAAGCCAAAATGACCACAATAAAAAACCCATTAAGGCACCTACGCGTTATTTCTCTTTCTGGCGAAAACAATGCCTTAACCAATTTTGCTTTAAATTAATGCAAAATATTGAAGTTTGTTGTTGTTGTTGTTGTTGTTTCTTTTTCTCAAATGTAAAGCAAATCACGGAACTTGCCATTACAATGCAATGCTAATATCAAATATTTGATTGTTACAGATTTTTTTCTTTTTGTGGTCGTCGTTTCATTTGTTGTATGCTCGGTTAGTGTGGGGAACCTTTTCATTATAAATTTTAGACGCAGTCAAGTCGATGCAAAGCATTCAATAAGTTGGCATTTCACAGATTAGGCGGCATTCATAATTTTTCTGCTCTAATTTCTCGATAAACAGATATTGTTGTTGTTATATTGTTCAGCTTATGCAAGGAGACAGAGGTTAATGTGAAACCATTAACTTTGTCTTGACCAAGCCTTTACGTTCAACGATTTCACTGTGTATTCACTTTTGGATGCTTTAGGTTGGGTTCTCCTTTTTGTTTTTGCGTTCGTTTGTTGTTGCGATTCTATCGCAAACATACAAAGGCACATACACACATTTACACATACACGCTTACAGACACTCAATAAATGATTCGTAAAACAAAAGCGTAGAATTATCATTTTATACCTTCATCGACTAGCACCACCTCGACTACAGCATTCAATGGTATATCAATTTTGTGGGTGCACATGCAATTCGGACCGCAATCCGCTGGTCTATTGTCACCGTTACAGAATTGTTCTGGATTAATTTCATTGTATTGTGACGTTAATGGTGCAGGTGCCGATAAGTATGAGATTTCATCGATCAAAGAGATAACATGATCACCAGTAGGTGCAACTGTAAAATATAGTAAGAAAAAAAAAGAAAACAAAAAAAAAAACAAGGCATGAATTAATATAAATTTATAAAAAAAAAAAATTAAAAAAATAGCGGTTTGCTAAGGTTGGTTTTTATTCTAATCAATATATCGTGGTAAAGTCATTTATGGTATTTATTATGAAAGACAATAGCAGTCACGTCAGTTCGTTCGTTCATTGACTCCTTAGAAAAACAGGTCGATTCGCGGACTGAAAATGTCTAGAAATCAAGGCATTACCTACCAAAAGTAGGTTGAATTCGCAATTTTTCGAGATTTCACAAGAGTTGCTCTCGAAAATAATGAAGAGAAGAAGGACTTTGCAAAGCTCGTTAGTCAAGGACTTGCGTTTCATATTCTATAATGCAGATCTCCAGTCGTCTATAAAGCTAATGAAACTATGGATTGCGAAGAATAACAAATGAGCACATAAAGAGGGTAGATAGGCTTCGCGTTGTCCCGAGGAAAGGTCCAAGCCCATGATTTGAATCATTGCGATGCTCTCTATGTGATGAGGATTGCCCCAGTTCCTGCGCGGTGCTGGTTAACCTTTCCTATTTAATCCGCGTTTAACGCGGAATTAAAAAGAAATACCGTTAAAAACTTTTTGTAAGAAGCAAATTTTTCTTCATGGGTTCAATAGACATTTTGAGCCCATTAGAACATGCAAAGAGGTATTCAATGTTCAAAATAATTTTCGTACTTCGAAGAAAACAATGACGGTCAAACGATACCCTTTTAATGTCTTAGCTCATCAGAAAACGTTCAGAAACTATAGTTTGCAATCCAGAGCAGAACTTGACGAAACTCTTATAGCCATAGCCTAGCTCCAAGACCAGAGCCAATTCTCTAGGATCAAGATTGTAGCCAAGGCTAGGTGCATAGTAAGGGTCAACGTTAAGCTCAAAGCTTCGTCCACGGCTAAGGCCAAGGCTAGCTCCGTGGCTAGAGTTAAGGCTACGGCCTAGCCCAGGGTCAAGGCTTGTCTCTCAATCTTCTAGACGTAATGGTAGCGCCCGGCCAAGTAGTGGCTCTACGCTGGTTTAAATGTGCCTCCCGGAAGCGCTTTCGCATTACCTCAAGATGGATTCTTATGAATTGTTGATCCTCGTAATATCGTTCTGCTTCCTGCGCTTTCGAATGAGATTAGGGGTTCGGATGTAACTTTATAGCATAGAATGTCTTGCAAAAAACTGACACATTTCTTCCATCTTTCTTTGTTTATCAACACAACATGTAGCCGGTTGCACCTAATGGTCAAGGCACGGAGCAAAGCTAGGGCCAAGTGTAGGCAGTATAGGCGACGTTTTGCAGTTTATAAAGCAAACCAGAATCTGATACTTGATCTACCTACACTTACCCTATTACCTATGCCCATAATAAGCTGGTGACTTGTGCCAGATAATAATTTAAAACTTTATGCCCTTGTTCGTCAGAATAATCTAAGATTTGAATATAAACTTGATTTTAATTGTCCGACTGATCCTGATACGACAATTAATAAAAAGTTTGCACTATTTCTCTCACTATTTTGTAATTTTTAGCTAGAAATCTAAAAAAAGCGATAAAACTGATCCTTCGTCGGATCTTGGCTTATCAAATGCATATTCGCTGCGAACTTACCTAAGAATCTGTTATAAGTATTAGGCTGGAATAGTTCTTCGGGACGATACACATAGAAACGGAACGGCAAGAAGATTTTAACATCTGGCTTCTCGGAGAGAATGCCGCGATCAATTTCCTGAGCACTTTTTAATTGGCTCACGCAGATGGCATCGTTACGTTGACGATTACACTGAGCATCTAAAGGATTCATAACCTTTTTGTGTTTTTTACGCAATGTTTTCCAATGTTAGAGTGCATTTGGCATTTGTCAACATTTACATATTTATATACATGTTGTACGTATACCCATCATATACATATATTTGTGTTTTTTTTTTTTTGTTTTTGTAGGTAAAGCAGTGCAGTACAGTGCAAGTATATACAAGTTTTGTTTGAATAAATTTACAAAACGAACACAGTAATAAAGGTGTTGTTGTTATTTTTGTTTTTGTTATAGAAGAAAAAAAAAAAAAAATGATTTGAATAGAGTGTGTGTAGGAAGCGGGATGTTTTACAAAACATCGATTGTATTAAAATTGATTTTCAAAAAGAGTTTTGTTTTCAAATTGTTTATTGTTGTTGTATAGGCAGGTATAGAGACAAAAACAAAATACATGTGAGGGAAGATGCGTTACGTTATACACATTTTGTACATGAAATAAAACAAAAAAGTAGAAAAATTAAAAAAAAAAAAAAATATTATATACAATATTTTTAACAATTAAAAAAAAAAAAAAAAAAACAACATTTCAAAACGAAATGAAACTTAAACAATTATAAAAATATTTATACAGCGAATGGTAAAGTAATGTGAAGTATATATAAGAAAGCAAAATCAGGTAAACTCACTTACCTTACCTTTAAAGTGTTTAATAAGTTTTGTTGTAATTATAACAATAATTATTATTTAATATTTTTTCTTTTCATGTTATATCATAAAAAAAGATAAAATCTTTATTTCCTCGATTTTATCCATTGTTTTTTTTTATCATATTATTTCGAAAAAAAAAATTTTTTTTCTTTCCATATATTTTTAAGTCTGACTTAATAATTAGAAAATTTAATTCTCTTTCATTTGCAATCTTTTATGATTGCATTTAAAAGTGTATGATCGCGCGCACACGATTATGATAATGAAAATGAAAAAATGAATTTGCAAAGAAACTTACCACACCCTGAGGTAAACCGACATCGTATGTGGGTGGTTGTGATGCCGGCTGATAGGGACCGCGAGCATAACGCAAAACACCCAATTGTTGAGCTCGTCTAATACCGCATTCGCCCAAACCTCTTAATTGTATCCAATAAGCACCAACTGGCTGATCGGCAGTAATGACAAAATCATAACGTTCACCTTTAACAACAACAAATAATCGAAATTTAAAATAACACAGAAAAGATATCAATATAAAAATAAAGGAAGCAAGTAAGAATGCTACAGTCGGGCAAGGTCGACTATTAGATATCCTACACTACTTCGCCTAATGCCATGCCATTCACCAAAAATTCTATATTATTTTTGTATAAATGCAAATATTTCAAGAAAGCTCTCGTATCGGAGTATACTCGAACAACAACGTGATCTAAAACAAATTTTTAGCAAATTCAAATTGCTCGTTGAAATTTTATTATTAATATCCAGTTACTCTTCTGCCAGAAGAAACCCTAAATTAGGCTTTACCGCTTATGGTGCTTAAGAGACTAATATGATCCAAGTTTCTATGATTAATTTAATGAGGATTAATTTTTCCCCGTTACAAAATATTAAATATTGGATCTTTTTGCCATATAAAGGCAAAAGAGAGAAAGGTTGGGACCCAAAAAATGGGTTTACGTGGTCCAATTTCGTTAAGATTTATTGTTACGTGGAATCATTGCTATCAAACCCAACAAGAAGTATTGAAAATTAGGCCTTTTCACCATATAAAGATTCAGTTGCCGTATGAACGCTTATATGGGAAGGGGTTCAAGAAATTGCCACATCGGATCCAAAATGTCCACACCAATTTAAAATGTCGAAACGCTGTTACTAAGCGAGTTTTGTGGCGAAATTTTGAAAATAACGTCTTAAGGCGTTAAAAGGGAGGTGATCGAAAAAGTGGACGGAGTTGATCCATTTTCAAGAGCGTTTGTTCTTGAGCCAAAATTTCATCGAAATATCTTGAAAATTGCGTCGGTCGTAACACATGAACAGAAGGACAGACGAGTTTAGATCAATTGAAAAAATTATTCTGAATGAATTGGCATAATAAATGGTGGGCCTATTTCAAGTCCTTTTAAGGATTGCATACATGCGCACAAATTTAATATAGCCTTGTACCACAAATAGCGTAGGGTATAATAAAAGAAAACAAATAAGTGATTATATATATATATATACATATATATATATATATATGTATATATATATATATATATATATGTATAGAAGGACTGAATAATTATCGAAGCAAATAAAAATTAGTTTTATTTTCAATTTTTATTAATTAATTAAATGATTAAATCTTTTAATCAAGGTTAATATTTCAATTTATATGTATTGATATGTCTGTGTTAGTGTGTATGTATTTTTGTGTTTGTTTATCACATCAAAAGTTAAAATCTTTTAAAAATAGTCACTGAATTCATTGTGCAACTATGAAATAAATAAAAGCGTGAATTATTGCGGTTTACTATATATTTGTAACGTATATAGAGATCAAGGTTTTGAGGATTAGATATCACGTTTTTATATCTCGAAAATGCATCTGTTCAATAAAAATAGATTTAAATAGAGAAAGGACAGTTTTGCAAATTTATATACGCAAGATCAACTATAACTATTGAAAGCTATTGAAAGTGTGCCTATGTAGTCATTTTAAGCATTTCTCGTCCAAGTTGTTTTGTATACAGTATGTATGCAACAATATCCAACATCGTTACGGAATATTGAAATAATTTTACCATGAAATTTTATTTTCGACACTTGCTCGCAATTATTCGATTATAACTATTGTCTGTCTCTCCATTCTCCATATGCTTTTTTTTGCTCGATTTAGTTATGACTTGAACCACTTCTAGTGAATGTATTTTTTTTTAACTTTAGTTAACTTTAAATACCTGCTACGAGGTGCTCACTTTAGTCGCGGGATCAACACAGAACCAAACGTTGTTGAATCAGCTTGAAGGTTCTGGGCTAATGATGGACATAACTGATCACTTTTGAAATCACAGATGCTCAGATTCATATGACGATTTTCTAACATCAGCTTCTTGCTTTTTGTCGATATCTTTATTATTCGTAGATCTTGAGCTTGTCGACTATAAAGGATCTAATCACTCTTTATTTTTCCTAGAGCTTCCAACACAATGCCTATGATTTTTATATACACAATTTTACGTCGCACTGTTCTGCATTTCCAGTAAAACAACACAGGAAAGTTTCATTGAAGCTCGTAGCTTAAAACAGACTCTTTCAAGAATTTGAAATTTACAAAGAGTATTTAATGCATTCGTACTTATGTGTGGATGGATACCCGGAACGATTTGAGATAGTTCTATATTTTATTATAGCGGTCGATTCAGAATCAATATTTATCTTCCAGAGGTTGCTTGTAAGCTTGCCTGTCTGTCCGTTTATCCGTCTGCGTTCTTGTGTTCAACCTACAGGGCGCTATGTTTGAGTTATTGTAATGAAAATTCATACAGTGAGACTGGCTTAAGGACGAACGCAACTGAAAATGGTGCGAATAGGACTATCTTTTCCACCGCTTGCCAGATAACTGTAGGGTAATGTAAGGTATTTAATGGTTGCAGTCTATCGTGAAATAACGCGAATTATGTCTAAGCACTCTGCGTCCGCATTGTAATCGAGTACCGTTGTCAGCCAGCGCAATCAAGAAGTTAGATAAGTCCGAAGCGTTTTGGAAGTGTAGCGTAATTTGTGCACCATAAAGGAACGGACTAAAACATTATCTTGACTACAAGAGAATTCGAGTTTCTCTTTTCTTCTCTACATTCCTGCAAACGGAAACATATAGCGCATTTCGGGATCTGGTCTTTTTCTTGGAAGACTACACTTTTTTTCTAGAATCGCCTCTCGTACATCCCGCGCACATTTGTACGTATTCCACACCTATATAATTCTGAGTAACAAACAATTTCCATCATCGGTATCTAGACCATCGTAAAATTAGACCTTCACTCTAAATACGGGGACGCTTTTGAAAGTTTTCTCAATTGTCCGCTTGTTTAATGTTGGAGGTCTCCCCGGAAAGACATTCGACGTACCAGTAATTCCAGTTAAGTGTCTCAATGCAGCCGATTCAAACTAGATTTTAGGAACATTTCAAAAAAAGGACTTAGACAATTTAATAATGTAAATAAATGAAAGTATTTTGACTCAACTCAGTTTATTGATTTGCTGACTCACAGAAGAAGAGAAATATTTTAAGAAAATTTTTATTTTAAATCGAATTTCTGACATAATTTTTTATTAAGAATTCGACCAACAACAAACTATGCAGACAGAGAGTTAAAATCATTTTACTTTTACAATCGTTTATACAGACTGTCAACTGTTATGGCGGACGTATTAAGCGCCGCTAAAAATGTATAATATATAGATGTATATATGTATATACGTGTGGCTACAATATATGTTTGACTAGTTATCTCAGGTGTTTCCATATGAGGGGAGGGGGGGAGGCGTTTGTTGACCATGACCATATTAACAGCACGGTTCACAGGCAACAACAACAACTACATAAACAAAACTATTTCTCAGTTATTACGTTACCGTTTTTTAAGCTCGATGGTTTGCGGCGGGTATAACTGTTGTTGCTTGATTTTATTAATAATTTTTCTTTTTTTTTTTTATGCAGATCAAATGCATATTTTTTCTTAAGTACCTTTTGCTAGTTAAATGGTAAAATATTTTATTTTTTTCTTTTCGTATTTTTTTAGCAGAAAACGCCTCTCAATGTTAAGGCTAAAAATACGTTCGATAATTACGCTCGAATCAATTGAGTTTAGCTTTACTTGTGCCTTGCACATGAGTTACTTTGATTACAATTGATTATTAACTACTGTTGGCACCATGCAGGTTAAGCTTATACAAAAACGTGATAATATTTATAGGAATTTGTGAAAATATTTTTTCACAAAAATCCATTCATTCACTATCAACGAATAAGTATTAAGTAGATTATGTGACACAAGTCTCATTGAAATTCATTCGCTAACTAGACCATGATTTTACATTGGAGTAGAAAAATATTTCACATAATATTTACATGTGAAGTGAAAATAAAATATAGAAACTAGGGAGCACACTATAGTGGGACCAGGCCCTGCATAAAATATCCTAACGACTTTGCTCAATATAGTCACTCATCTAACAATTTCTCTAAACCGGGTTTTATATTGGAAATGGTCGAAAAATTGGTCCGATCCGATTCGTTTCCAATAGACTTCGCCATGGGGTCAAAACATGTCGGTGTTTGTGTTAGAGTAGTATATATTGTTTTTTTTAGGACTTAAAAGCGGGATTATTCCTTTTATCAATGTACTAAACCAATGACGCAGATGCCTTTCGAATATTTGGAAAATATTATGCCTTGGCCCCGGATAGTGCTTTTGCTTGTTGTAACGGTTGCGATTTCAGTCTACCACCACAGTCTGACATTGTGATACATATAAAACGTGAACTAGACTAGAAATTGTCAGATCAAATTAAATCGAAAATGGCGGATTGTTCATTGAGCATAAGCAAACAAAGTGGGCAGATGGACGGACAAGCTTAAAAAGTGATTCTGATTCGATCGGTATAATGGGCCCATCTGAAGTCTTTCTGAGTATTGCGTACACACCCGCACAAACTATACCACAAGTGGTGTAGGGTATAATGAAAAAACCGCTCAAATTATTTTATCCAAATGATCTCTATTTCCTAAAAGATCGAATTCTTCGGTACTTAAAAATTGCATCTCGATGCAAGTACAGATTGTGGGAAGTTTCTTCAATAATTTAAGAAATCGGCAAAATGAGCACAATGATGATGATGCTAGGGTAACGAATCAATAAAAGGTAGAAGCGTAAATAAAATTCTACCGAAATTCGGAATTAAACCAAGATATAACCTAAAAATTAGTTTATTGACAAATATGCGAGGACAACGAATAACAAATAAAACGGGAATGAAAATCGAAAAGTTGTGTAAATTTAGGATAGAATTTAGAATCAACTTAGGAAGCTTTTTTAGAAGGCAAAGTGAGCTATGGTTCGGTTTTAGATTGATGATGATTTAGGTGATTATTGGCGAAGAATGTGATATCTGTAAACTTTTATTCACTTTTCTTCTTTTTTTTTTTAATATCGCTCAATCACTTAGGGGATGTTCCCTATTCGTGTAATGCGGTGGCGGTCAGAAAGATGAAAGAGAACGGAATAGAACAGTGGCTGAACACTAGAGAGGGTGTGTGCGGAGACCGGTCCAGTGTTATGCCTTAACCGGCTGGATATTCACTAAAGGTACGATCAAGGCAAACTCCATCGCACTGCAGATTGGTACCTGCAACCTGGTGGCCGTGCTTCCTACATAATTGGCTACTTATGGGGCTGTCTCATGGTTTTAACAACCAACTAAAAATTTGGAGGACTTAGCATAAAGTTTTTGGGTCATCCATGTTATACGTTCCTTTGGCTGACTTTTGGATTAGCTTCCAAGATTTCTTAAGATATTAATATTACAAACGTTTGATTTGAAATGGCTTAATACTTTTTAGATAACCGAGTGCTTTATAAAGCAATTTGTCATAATTTGTCGAGAGCAGATTAAAAAGGAATTTTATTGTTTCTTCTTTTTTTTGTTTTTTTTGCTACTAATGTCTATATATTAATATCTTAAGAATGATTGATTAATAATATAAATCATAAATATTTTGTACTATGTGTGCGCCAATCAAATAAATTATAATTAAAACATTTAATAAAAGAACTCATTTGTTATGTTCGTTATTTTAGTTTAGGTGTTCGTTTATGTGTTTGTTCATTAATTTCTATTCATTCCATTGTAGTAGGATTATATTACAAATAAATCCACTGTGCTTTAACTGAAATCATTTCCCCATAAAAACCACAAGAGTTTTATTTGAAAAAGTAGCGAAAGACAGAGCTAAAAAAAATATATATATATATATAAAAAAAAACGTCGACAACTTTCGTTTCTGTAGGTTTTGTGGTTAATTTGAAAACATCTGTAATCATTTTAGTGAACAATAAATTTAATATGTAATTATGTACAACAATTATTTTAATGTGTGTTTAGATAAATTGTTATTAACGTACATGGATTTAATATTTTATGATTAATACATGAAATGCAACGCACACAGGTAAGAAAGTTATGTTCACCTTAAAGGGGAAAAACAATTGCGAAATTAATGCGCTTGTTTAGCCATCTACCGCATAGTCCGGCAGTTAAAAAGTGCGATCACCAACTTGAAATAACCGCCGTAGAGTATAGGGTTTAATAGTCGGTGTGGTAGACCATACCTTAGTTAGGGTCGGTTTATGATCGCAGCTGTAGTGAGTGCTCGACCGATAAAGCAAAACCGATCGGGAGCATGCTTCCCACGCTGAGGCCACTCTCTCTCCCTACCTCTCTCCCTCTCGCTCTCTTTTTATTTCTATTTCCCTCTTTTTTCTTTTTCCCCTTCTGTCCGATCCTTTCCATGTTACGCGTACATTTTCTCAGTTTGTAGCTCTAAGAACAGACAGTTTGCACTCATTCATCTTCCGAGTCAATATATTCAAATTTTGGTTTCTTGGTATTCCAAGAGCAGACAATATCCATTACTCTGCTTATGCTTTGCATTTTTATGCGTTTTCAGATGTTACAAAATATGCCTTAGCCTACAGTGATAAGTACAAAGTTGCTGTTTAAGTTAATCTTTAGAGCGAGGATTGACAGTCAATACTTAAACTTGAGATTATTGTCATGTTTTCAATTTTTTTTTTTTTGTATATGACCAGGCATTCAGCGGTGCCCCTTATACTTCCGGGCACGGTCAAGGAGGATTAACAGGTATCGAGGAATGAAAGATCGGAGTCGTATAATTAAAACAAACTTATTGCGTCGGTGAGTGATGTCTCTGTTGCAAAGCTCTTAAGTTAAACAATTATCTGAAGACTTGATTCAGGAATCTATGCCACTGTAGTTTGTATGTTGCTGCCTGTGGCAGATTCTTAGCAGAATCAGCTTTTGGACGCCTACAAAGCATTTGGTTTTTATTCCTGTCTTTAAAGCAGGGTTCAGAGGTTATAGACTTCGTAGGGCTCATTTTATTGACTACAGTTCTTTCTTTCACCGCATAACAATGATCTATGATCTAACCCTATGCAAGGAATGTTGGAGAGCATGGTAGCGAGTGGCCCGCAACTTGCGAGAGCAGAGGGCTATTAGGATCGCGCTTGAAACATTGCACTCAGCAGTAATTACTGCAGGCCTGCAGGATTCGATGTTGACATGGCGACAAAAGTAGGCAAGGTCTAAGATGAGCTTCACCTCCCTCGAATTAGTTTTACATTAATAGCTACAATAAAATCGCACAAAGAGCGCTTTCTTTGTTGATTTAACTTAGTGAACTTGTGCTTAGTAACAGCACGAAAGGAATGAATGCCTTAGTGCGATACTTTCCGGTTGACACTTTCTTTAACTAATAACAAGTAAACTGAAAGCTTCAAATTGGTAATTACCTCGCCTTAGGTCTTTTGTTGTTTTACATATTGTTACATTATTGTTTACATACTGTTAACGTTTCATTTTTTAAAATCAATTAATTTGAAAATTAAGTGGAACCGAAATGTAGACAATTGGCAACAATATGCATTTAAGAGTTCAACTTCTTGAATACGGAAAGATTAAAACCGCGCATCTTCTAACGGTCTGCGAATTGTGGCAGTGTGAATGGTTGCTGTAAAAAGTAACTTATGCCATATTGCGAAGATCGAAATCTCAAGTTCTCGTTCTAGGTTAAGTTATTTCCTTCATGTACCAGTATATAATTTGTCTTATTAAGTCATTTTTAGGTGTTTTACTTCCCATAATTTCTCTTTCATTTTGTTCTATGTACAAAGGATGACCAGGAAAACGGAAGCATTATCAGAAAAAATTGGCAATGGCAAGAATATTTCCTCTTTTCTTCTTGGTTCAGTCGTCATTCAGTACACATCGTGGCTTTCTTCATCCTTCAACCTTAAGAAAAGTTATTCACAGCTATCTACCTATGACGTTGCACTGTATCGACAAACGGTTTTATTAGGATTTTATAGCAAAAGCATAGTTGATAAGCTTATAATTTCCCTTAGGCACGGCATGGGTTAGAATAATCATTAATATAACAGTCAAAGGAAACAAAAACCGTACATGTTAAGTCCTCGTATTATTATTGTTTACAATATTTTATATACACAAATAAAATGGAATCATACGAAGTTATTATACAACAAGTAGGCTTCACGTACCTCAAGTGATAATTGAAAAGAGTTTGAAAGCTATAACTTTATAGCAGGGGAATAAAAAGAAGACAGGATATGTTAGATCAATAAAGAACGCCCAAGAGGAGGCGTGTTAAATGCGGGCATCAGATACCGAAAATTTCCGATGGGAAAGTCTTCCATCTTTACTATGCTTAGGTCGCAAGTTTTTTTTAGGTAAAGGAAAATGTCTCTTGATCATAGTCTATCCAGATCACCAGTGGGAGTATTTTCCGCTACAGTATTTTCGAATGTCAGCTGAGGACTATGTAAACCGCGCGCATTTGCTTATTTTTACTAAGCAGCTTCTCAATTTTTTATTTAGATCGAAATTGTGTTCTTTCGGCATTCAGTTATAGGTTGTTGAAGGTTTTGCTAATCACTAGGAATTCTTAGTAAATCTTGAGTAGCCTTAATTGCAGAGCACCTTGCTGCACCGATACGTGATCTTGCAAGATATCATAAAGTTTGAATATCGATACATTTTTCATGTTATCAAAAAAAAAAAACCATGGCTTAGGTTGTGTTTACAAATAACGAAATTGTAAAATTCACAGAATCCGATGCACAACAGTATTCGGTAAGCTGCACTAAGCTTAACGTAAGGTTCATGCATCCGAACGTAAGTAAATTTTGCATATAAAACCTGAGTTGATGAAGTTTTTTTCAACCTCAAGATGTGTGCAAGTCTTCGCAGTGCACACATTTTGGGAAAATAATAAAAGTAAAGCAAAAATATGCAAAAAAAAAAAAAAAAAATACTCTCAGGCTTGTTCATAAGATTTTAAGCGGCTCAGTTCATCGCTTTGACTTAATCTAAATATTTTCCAATGCGTTTGCATTGTTTTATGTTTAATGATAATAATGAAAAGGTTGCTGTGCCTGTGTAGGGTTCTCATTGCCCGACTACTTTTAATTATAACGGTTTTATTGGCATTTTTCTCTATTTAATTGAAATTTATTACATAAATAATTAATTAAAGCATTTTTTACATATATATATATATATATATGTATTTCTTTTTGTGCATTATTATTGTGCGGTAACAGCGGTGTGTTGAAATTTGTTTTTAATTTTATTTTTCTAAAAAAGGTGTGAGTGTGTCATATAAACAGGTAAACAACGACACATTCATTTGATTATGAATTATGTGCTTATGTGTGTTGCTTACATTGTTTCTTTTTCGCGATTTTGTTGCGATTGTTATTTATGCTTTATTTTAATTGTTTATGCGAATGATTTGATTTCTCTTTCTTTACACCCTCTCCGTTCACAAGCATAATGAAATTATGTAAATATTTTTATAGACACATATATATATATATATATGCATAACTTCGTATAAATATACATATGTATACATAGATGTTGTGTTTGTGCTTATACACATAGGTAAAGGCGGTAACGTTTGCGGATTAGCTTGCGCGTGGCAATAACAACAACACCAGACAAATTCAATTGAATTGAAAAACAAAAAAAAAATAAATAAATAAAAACAAAAGCAAAAGAACTTTTAAACATATAAACTTAGTCACACACACATACACACATGCATGGTACAACACTCACCTGAGAAAGATATGATCGTGTTCACTTCAACCGGATGCACAGGTTCACCATCTGTGGCTATAACCATTAAATTGTGGCCCTCGATTGTCACCTGAGCTGGACAAACCGAAGCGAAAGCATTAATCATACGGAAACGGTAGCGGCGTCCCGGTGTTATTGTGAAAATTTCCAAAGGTGTGTTTGTCATGAAACCAGTATTCGGATCACGGACTTGACCTTTTCCATTTATTAATAACGATTCGGGATCTTGTCCAGTGTTAACAGCCAAACGGCCAGGATAACGTTCAGCAGCATCTTCATGCAACCAATCGCTGATTAGCATAATGTGTGTCGTCAAATCGAAGTCATATAAATGCGAATTTGGATCACGTGAAGGTGGTTGACGTACGACTATGCTACCGTAAAGACCATCCAACTTCTGCAGGCCTGTATGAGCATGCCAGAAATGTGTACCCGCATTACCTGTCCATTGATAGCTACGAGATATTTTTTGTAAGATATAAAAATGCAAACACATATAAATTATTATCATATTTTTTCATTTATTACCGGAACGTGTTGCCTTGCTGTATAGGACATTGTGTTACGAACGGTACACCGTCATAGTATTGGGAACCGCGTTGCCATATGCCGTGCCAGTGTATGGTTACTTCCATGCCTTCCATATGATTTTCCACATCGATGACAACTTTATCATTTTCGCAAACTTGTATACTGGGGCCGGGTATCATGCGATTAGCTGTCAGTATACCACGTTCAACACCATCAGCTAACACGCATTGACAATGACTCCATACTGTGTTGGTAGCATTGGGTGTACACACTTGACAGGCGCTAAAATGTTTACGCAAAACCGATAACAAAAATGATTAGTATGTAGCGTCATAATAAGGTGTTGTTTTATATGAACATAACAACAACAACAACACCAACAAAAATATCGTTATAAGGAAACTAAGCGTTTTTTCCAAATCTCTAAAAATAAGTCATTAAAAAAAGTTTTTCCATTATCACTTAAACCAGTGAGATGAAATTGATCGCTTTGAAGTGAATCTTGAATGCTTAACTCAGTGAACTCAATCAATAGAAGAAAGATCTACATGAACTCAGACTAGTCAAAGCCATAGAAATGTTAAAAATTTTCTTTGGAAATGTAATCAACAGTTTCTTTAAAATAAGCTGCGTATAAAGGGAGGACATATTAACGTTGAAGGCTGCAACATGTAGGGTCTTACATAGATATTCTTGCGCCATATATTCTTGTTTTATATATTCTTTTCCTTTTTATATTGTTTTCCGATTTATAATTAGCTATATGTTCGATCATTTATAACCTGAAAAAGTGCGAATGCCGGAGAAATGAAAAAGCGTAAAGTATCAGTGATTAAGATATCGCATGTCAGTGCCTTGGAAGAGGGTATTGGGTCGCACTTAACTAGTTCCGTGTGCTCACGTTTCCGTTCTTCCGTCTGTCCGTTGTCTGTGGTTCAAATGCTTTCAACAGTCAACTAAGATCTTAATTGTTGTTGTAATAAATAAAACTAGATGTGGGCGTGATCCCACACAGCCTTGCCTAAAATAAGCAAAGCACTATAATATGGGTTCAGACTATGTATGAAACTTTGTGCAAACATTTACGAGGACTTAAAGTCAACAAGATCAAATGTCATGATTTACAATTTATGCCAGATAATAAGCTGATGTACGTAGATGCACGTATTAAAACTATTTATAATTATCTGACTGATATTTGAAGCATGAAACGTATCACCCCAAGATCGACTCCCGCACCATATTCACCTCTCGGTCTTTGCACTGGATCTTTTAATTAGAAACCTAATCAATATGTAGAAACGACTTGTTTAGGATAGGGTCTACTCAATCGGTTAATATTACCATATAATATATAATATAGAGGTAGCGAGAACGTCTTGCGAACGTAGTTCGGCCTTGAAGCTTTAAATGCTTAACGAAGCGCGTAATGCATTGGAAACTTTTGATGATTATTAGTTATATGGAATTTGTGAATAGATTAATTTGACTTCTTTCCAGGTAAGCCGGTTTCCAATCAATCCAAGGTTACGCACTCAAGACGGAAAAATCTGAAGCAATCAATATCCAACACACAACGGGCAGAAGCATTTAGGTTTAAGCATTTCAACGACTAGATCAAGTTTTTTTTTTCTTAATATGATCAAAAAACTAAGGGATGTTCTTTATACTTGTGCCACGGTAGAGGCCAGAATGATGTGCGGAAAGAGAAAGAGATAACAAGGCATGTGTGAATGTTACTGCCCTTATTGGCTAGGGAGTCACTATAGCAAGTAAAGTTACTCAGCCGCTTAAAGTTATGTATAGGCTTGCAATAATTGACGTTTATCCCAAAACGCTCGAGTTTTGAGCAGTTACCTGCTTTTTTTAGCATTTTTCTAAAGCTTTAAAAAATTTTGAGTATGACCTAAATTTAATATTAACCAGAGTATTGAGGACTAAGCAACAGAATGCTGAAGTCCAGTAGCAATGAATGATGAGATTTTGAGAGGAACAACCTAGCATTTTTATATACTACACCACAAGTTTGTGTGAATGTACGCAACACCAAGAAGAACTTTAGATAGAATCACGTTTTAGTATATCGATCGACTTGTAATTAATCTTTGAATCGATGTAAGCTCGTTTATCCGCCATGTTTTCTTGTGGTTAACATACAAGCCATAATTTTTGAGATATTTTTATGAAATTTGTCGCACTGTGCCAAGGCCAAAAGCTATTGAAAATGTTTCGAATCGGACCACTTTATCGATCACTTTCCATATGAAGTCCTATTTTGCAAAGTCGCTATATGAATGACTGTAGGGTGATGTAGGCTTTTTAATAGTGGACCCTGACTCACTGTAGCGTCTTTACTTTGTCTCTTTTCATTTTTGGATTTTTTTTTTTTTTATACAAAATTAACCTATACGATATATCATACTCTGTGAAAAGTGTATATATCTATGGATACACAACGACAAAACTGTCGATTGGTGTTAAAAATTACACAGTGATAAAATTAATTACATTAATTAGAAGATAAATGACACCTAAGAAAGCAAATGTGCTTAATTTTTATGATAAAAAACTTTCATTTTTGTTAACTTTCATAAGCGGCGTATGTTGCACAATAAATTGCGGAAATTTATATTTTTCAATTTATTCAGAAAAAAAAAAAAAAACAAAAAGAAACCTTGTATGAACTACGAAAATGCTGAACGTATAATAAAACTTATAAACGATATTAAAAATTACGAAAGAGACAACATTTTGTTTTGCCATTTTGATAAAAAGCAATGTAAGCGAAAAGATGACAGAAATCATAAATATTCATTATGACATAATGAGGATGAGGATGATTTCGGTTATGTCGTAAACCACATTGCTTTCTTTCAATTTCTGAGTGAATTCCTATTAACTCTTAATAAGACTTGTTAGTCAAAGCAAGTCATTGACTTGGCATCTGGCCAATGTATAAATATAAAAAACAAACAGAAAAAAAAATAGAAAATTATACGGAAAGTCATCATCTGCAAAAAAAAAAAAAAAAAAAAAAAAAAAAAAAAAACAAAGAAATTTATCTTTTTCCTTTCGTATGACTTTGGTACCGTAAAATAAATGTTGAAAATTTAATATTTAATTTAAACTAATTTGTATTTTCAACATCTATTCCATAGCTCAGTTAATGTTAAAATTTATTCATACAGTTTGTTGGCTTTATATTAATTGTTATACGTTTTATATGGCAGATCATAACGGAATACACCTGTTTTGTAGAAAAGCACACACAAATCGAATGGATAGATAACAATAACACATCAATACCATTACCAATAACAACAAAATCAGCAAACATAGTAACAACAATGAGAAAAAACAAAAACAAAAGCATTAACAAATGCTGTCAAATCATTTAATATTAAAAACACTGCTGTAATGATTACGATTATGATTATGGCATTTATTCAAAACTCATTTCCATAATACCTACCTAATAAGAATACAAATAAACACACTAACACTAGTAAACTCAATTCACAATTTATTTAGTGAAGGCCTTTGAAAGCAGAAATAGCCAACAATGCAACGTGGTATGGGCCGTATATAGCTATTCTGATCGATCATACCCGGGCGTAGATATATTTAGTAGTGGCTCGGGGATCTAATTTCGAAAAGTAAAAACCTTTTAGGTTTCCTCAATTATAAAACAGATCGATCTTAATAAACGGATGCTTTCTAATTAGCTACATTCTTGAACCGAGCTTTAGTCGATTACGCAAAGTTTAGACAGGTAAAAAGGTAAAAATATTTGAGTTGGATATCGATGGCACATTAGTGCCGGGCGAATTCGCGGCAGAACTGGAACAAAAATCTACGAATAGTCTGTTCAATACTTCCGCAATATAAAAGGAAGCTTACTCGACTCGATGGAAACCGAAGGCCTAGACTCTATTCATTTTCCATTTAATCGAATCTCAACATCCGCAACATTTTTTCTCTTCTATAACTGTCACTGTAGCGTTATTACCTATTGCCAGACAAGATTCGATAAGGCAGAGTCTTATCCATCGGCCTATAAAGCCTTTGAACGCTTGGCACCGTAACCGTAGCAGACTTATTCCATATTCTTTTCTACACTATCGCCTTAGCTGAATTATAATTCGTCTGTCATTGCTGGTTACTGTATTGTATTATGGTTTGGGCAGACTGTACCGTGATCTGGAAGATCTATTGTAATCGCCCAAGCTCTTCGGCTGGGAAAATTTACCATATCTGGCGCTATAAAATATTCGCCAAGAACCTAATTTACAATTCTCTAGATGGCTAAGCATTCGTATAAAACGTGATAGGAGGCTTCATTGTCATCTAACGACGTATAATAACAGTTAGAGCGGCTGCATGTGTCTTTTCTTCAAAATTTGCGATTGTTGTTTGCTTCCGTAAAGTCACTAAGCAGCTTTGCAAGGCATATCTGCATTAGACGCATTAGATTAAAGTACGATGAGAACTAGCGACCAAAGCTATCTCCTCCGCATTTTTTTAGCAACACACTAGATGGTTAGTTTAGTCGCTTTAATGAAGTTAAACAAAAAAGTCAAAAAGCTTTGCATTAAAATTGTATGACACGATGTGCAATCGTAACAAGCTGTATAAACCTCAGACGCGATGTAAGCGTACTAATATCCTTTCTACCTATGCAAACGTAAAGATCATTATTAAGCATAACATTTCATGTAAGCATAAGCCTTTTGTACATAACTATGGTAGAATGTCTGTATTTCAGCATAGCTTTGCCCTATAAAAGCCTGGTATAGAAGCAGGGAGATAAAACACTAAAGTAAAAGAAAGATTTGATATTTTGTTTCCATATTTCCGGATATTCATAAAAGGCAAAGTTTAGAAGTTTAAGCTTGAAGGCGTCACAATCGTGTTCTGCAGTTGTGACTAGTCCTTAATCATAAAAAAGCGAGAGAGAGAGAGAGATAGAGAAAGGTTTTGCCTCTCACAGTTTTTCAACTTTTTCTCAAATTTGCTGATCATATTCTTTTTAAAAATCTCTTTTTACACTCAAGTCCACAGGAACATCTGCTGCCGATAGTTTCGGGACATGTCTTGTATTCTTTCGAGGAATTTTGTATTGCGTTGCTTCTAAAAATTGGAATATGAAGCTAACTTGGCAGTGATTGTTTGAGTAAGAGACGCACGGATGCACAAACGTTGGCCTTTCCTGCTTAATAGGAAGGTAGAGGCTAAAAAGCAATAATTGTGCATCGTCGTTGATACTGTTTCTCGAGGCGTCGTTACAATTTGCCATCACAACTCGTTTAATGTAAATGGGATAGTGTTTGTGTTTTGTTTTCGTTTGTTTCGTGATCGCTTACATATACGTACGTAAAAGTTTATAAATACGTTCATTAATTTTTACATGCACACTTACAGATAAATATACGTATATATATATATATATATCTGTCTGACTATATCTTTTATAGAAATGGTGTAATAAAGATTTTACGTTTCATTGACTTTTCTTCTTTTTGTGCTTGGCTGTTTGTTGTCGTTGTTGTTGCTGTTATCATTGTTTGTTTTGCTTATTGAATGAACGAATCGTATGGAGAAACGACATAAGGAAAAAAGTATATAAGAAAACTATAATAAAATATTAATAATTATTTTACTTTTAACAGTTAATTATTTTTTCTAAACATTATTTGCTTTTCGAATATCTCTCTCTCTCTCTCTCTCTCTCTCTAGCCAAGCCAGCGGAAGAGCGCAGAGAGAATGCTTTGTAATTATTGGAAGTAATTAAAGTTATTTTCTTAACAACTTTTGAAATGTCAAAATCATGATCAATGTTTAGTGAAATGTTTTTTTTTTTTCTTCTCTAAATTAATAGCTTAGCTTAACTTAACTTGGGCACGAATCAATCAGCAGGGGGTTGTTAAACGAGACTATCCACCTGTCAGGCATGTTGCCTATCAATCAGGTAATTGGTTAACAAAAGTGTGAAAGTATAACATACAATTTTTTTTTGTTCGCTGAATTTATATTCAATTTAATGCTTTTCTACCGTAAACGTTTGCAAGCCATTTTCACATAGTCTATGATTACAAACACGCTGAGTATTATGGGATGAAATTGTTTAAACACACTTAATACTTTGCTATATATGATCCCTCTCTCCCTCTCTCTTTTGCAAAACGCGAAAGTTATGTTGCCAAAATACAAGCGTCGTAATTGTCTAATTAGGAACGTTTCTAATAGGTATTGTTATACCCTACACCACTTGTGATACACTTGTGATACAAGGATATATTAATTTAGTGGGGATATACGCAGCACCCGGAAGAACTCAAGGTAGACCCACCTATTATTAGAGTAATCGATTCAGAAAATGATCTAAGTTTGTCTGTCCGTCTTGTTTTCTTCTCTTCAATCTACAGGTCGCATATTTTGACTTATTTTGATAAAACTTGGCATACCGGCATGTTTTGGACCAAGAACGAACGCAACTGAAAATAGTTCGAATCAGACCATTTTTTCGATCGCTCCCTATATAAAAACACTTATTTTGAAAAGTCGTTATAATAAACAACATTGCGTTTACCGACACCAGTCGATTTGATTTGGATTTTTGATGTTAAAAATTCAGTATAAGGAAGTCGGCATCCTTAAATGTCACAACCGTAAAAATCGGCATTAATTATCCCACTTGTTATACTAAGGCGCAATGGATTTTTATTTTTTCTTTTCTAATCTGACAATCGCTCAGAGGACGTTTCCTATCCCAATCCGTGTCATACGGTGAGCGTCAAATAGAAGAGTGTCAAGAGGAAGAAATAGGGAGGTGGTGGCCACAGCCTAGTTAGTGCCCAATCGGTAAGTGTTTTGTCTTTACTGAGTGAGCACTCGCTACAGCTGCGAACAGAGAAAATTTTATCGCACTTGAGATCTGAACTCGTTAACGATGACTTGATAATCGCGGTACTTATCTACTCGGCTACTCAGGCGGATTTTATTTTATCGCTGATTGTGGACGTGTGGAAAACATTCTTGCACCGAACATGCAGGCGGTTCCAGTGAGCGTTTGGCTACCAGTTTTTCAAAACTATGTACGGAATCGAAAGTTACGGGCGAAATATGAAAAAAATTTCGTCGTTTTCCGAGGTTGTGATAGTTTGTTCTGCATTGTGGGCGAGCATGCGAACAGCTCGCACCTATTTTTCAATCAGATATTCTTAATCTATCAGGAAATTTTTGTGCCAAATTTGGATTTCCTAGCTTTACATTTTTAGGGCTGCGGGGATTCGCTATATTTACCCCTCAAATTCCCAGAAGCGGTGTAGGGCATTTAATGGTGCGCCTAGCACCAATATAGTGTTTTTATTTGTTTTTGTAGATTTGCATTAAATTTATGTTCAATACCTCTTTTAGATCATTTGTTACCGTTACTGGTATATATCGAAATCGTTTTTTTTAACGGATTGTGGCCTTTTTCCGAGATTTTCTTTGCATCGAGTTTCTGCTGCATCGAGCATCTGCTGTGTATTGTCAAATGCTGTTTCTTATTTCTTGCCTATCACAGATATGGATGTGGATAGTTCATGACCTTTTTTAGACTTGATATCCTGCCATATTAAAATTCTCTGGCTGTGAGCCCTTGCCGTTAAGGCGACAGGCGCGCAGACGCGGGGAGTGCTTACTCATTAGGGGATTTTTGATGGTTATTTTTGGGCATTGCCAATAGAAGGCGAACAATAGAGAGAGTTTGAACGTAGTTTGGATTTTGAACTTTGTAATTTACTGCAATTATGCGAATAAAAAATATTGTGCAGTAATTACGAATGTAGTTAATAAGAATATTGAAAAAAGAAATAGTTTTATATTCAATATTATGAATAAATGCACGCATAAGCCATGAATAGATTTGCGAATATTTTCAAGTAATTCACGAATATCTCTGGCAACGGACACGAGTGCAATGAGTAAAGCTACGAAGAGTTTTGGTAAAAGCTTACGGATAAATGCGAGTATATTAAAATTCTTTTATATTACGTTCTAATTATTAAATGTTTCTTTATGGAGAGCACTACGTCATGTCTGTATCTCAACTTGCGATAAAGTGAGTAAGCAAACGAATATAACAACGTACAATCAATGTGGCGTAACTGGTAGTGTTGGAAAGTGACAATTTTATTTACTGTAGGGTTTTGGCAGTGGCAACTACACATATTGTAATAGCAGAGCCGATCTAGTCCGTTTGAAAACTTTGCTCTGCTGAAATCTCTTAGCGTAAACCAATCCCATAGCTAAGTGTTTAAGACTGCCTTCACAGTGAGCACAGGCCCATGGTAGCTAGGCGTCGGTTATTACGGGTCAAATAAATTGAATGTATTGTTTTTTGCGGAAAGTACGTAAACTTTTCTCTCTTCTGGCTTAAAAAGGTTTTTCTTCATTATGTACTATATAGAGATTTACTTAACGTCTTATATAACGGTTTTTAGGTTTAGACGCTCCAATTGTGCGCTCCACCCATCCGATGATTGATATTTGTTCGAAAATTTCAAAAAGATTTACGATCAACGAAGCTAACCCTATATGGTTATTGCAATAGAATGTATACAGTCAAGTGACCGAGAACGCGGTTGCTTATAATCCGGTTTCTTTGAAGACTTGACTGTATGAATAGATGAAAAAGAAAAATAAAAAAGGGTTGTGACGGCTAAGAAGAATAAAGGTCATATACCGAATTTCTGTATTCAATTCAAATAACTAACTGATGTTAATTTATTGTAATGGAACCAAACTCTCACTTGATAAAACTTGGCAAGAAAGATAAAACATTATTTCTTCTTCTTCTTAAATAAATAAAATACTTACGCTCCCAAAACTGTGTAATATTCCAAAGTGAAATGATAATAGCATATTCTTGGCGGTTCACCTTCACGACAGGCACGTGCGCATTCATCTGGAGCCGATAGCGCTGGATTACGTCTTAATTCGGCTGTGGCGCTGGTAGAGAAATCTAAATGTCTAAACGGTGATCTCGGATTAGGACTGACTACCGTATTACTGGCTGCTAATGAAGGATAACGGGCAGACGATGGTAGACTGCCACGCGAATTCAAATAACCACTGCCGGCCGTTAGAGCTGCTTTATTAGGACTACTACTGCCACTGCCTAAACTGTTGCTGGTCAATGGCACGGGTCGTGGTATACTGCCACTTAATGACGGATGGGTTTGCACAATGCCATGTGTAGCTGAAAAGAAGGGTGCATCAAAGGGTGCGGAAGTGGAAGGTGAGGCCAGATGTGATTGCCAAAATGAACTGGCAGGTGTTTGATCTGTGGAAGTAAAAACAGAGAGAGAGAGAGAGAGAGAGATAGAGAGAGAAATCAATATATAAACACGTTATTATTATTATTTTATTTAAAAATAAAGCAGCAATAACAACAACAGCAAGAGAATTCTATCATAATGCCTTGCAGTTTAGAGGTGCTAAAGATTCGTTTATTAAACTTAAAACAATTAAATGCTATTGTTGAGGCTATTTATTGCGCAAATTTAACGATTTAGAGCAGAAAATTAAATGTCGAAAAAAAAAAGAACAACAGCACCACCAAAAACAACAATAAACAATCGACATATTGTTACCTTGAATATTGAATTTGCGTTTTTTATATTTTTTTTTTTTACTTTGCTTTTTTAGGTAAGTTCATTTAAAGACCAGCCTGAGCAAAGAGATAAACAATAAAAAAAAAAAATAAAAAAAAAAACGGATAATATTTATTCATAGTAGTAAGGCTAACGAAATTTTTAATTATTATAATTGTTGGAAAAAAGGAAGGAAAAAAAGCTTTATAAAAACTGGGCTGGGCCTTGCTATTCACATTAATTATAATTTATAATTATTTTTAAACGCTTAATTAAAAAAAAAAATTCTTTGCCATCGTCAGATACACTTACGTTTATCATAATCATAAAACGCTTTTGTATTAACGTTTAAGAATAGTTAAGATAAGACTCCATAAGAAGCGGCCTACGCATAATTGATTTATTTAACGACAATTGCTAATATAATATTTGGTAGGTATGCATGATGCAATGATACAGAAAGACTTAACCTCGACACTACAAGCACCGCGTGTGAAAGTAAATTCGTAGATAATAGAGCTAAGTAAGCAAATATTTGCTACGGAGCGTATGTGTAATACTTACTCCTTAAAATCAATTTATTTGAACTGATTGTGGGCGTGTCAGTTCATTCTATTTAAGCCTACTCAGTTTATTTTTGCTTTCCTTAATTTTTTTTTTTAGCTTTGCGTTCTAAGTGAGAGTTTGTTGCTTATTCTAGGCTTGTTTGTGGGCTCATCATGCAGTTTTTTGCATTGTACTTTTAGATGGTGCACGTAAGCGGGTTGCACTAAGTTCGGTTCAATGTGGCCCTGCTCGCTGTCAAGTCTATACTTGCACTGCACATGTGCCCTATGTAGGCTTTACGCATAGCAGGTGCCCTACAGATATAAAAGATTTGTCCATTAAGTAGGTCCTTTAACAAGGCTAACCGGCCGTCTCAGCGGTCCCATCTGTGCACAAATGCTACAACGCCTCTTCGTCACCATCGTGCCTACAGGTGCAGAGTTTTTCCGAAGGGCCGGTCATACACATAAAGGGTAAAGAGATAAATAAAAAGATGATCTTCCTTGAAAAATGTACTTGGATTTCAATTCATGTATCCGTAACGGCTAATGTTCGTGTATACCACGTGTACCAACATAACCAAAAAAAAAAAACTCAGAAATCGAATGTGTGTATGTACACGCGCATCGTATTTTATCCACCCTGAGAAGATGACATCTGTTTTCGAACTTATCGTGTGGCCGGATATATAAAGAGGCAGGTTTTCGACAAGTATTTAGCACTTTGATTATTCCAAAACTAGAACTTGACGTAAGTTGGTAGACGCACTTGGCTTGGAGCTTAATGTACATTTGTAATTTGCTTTATCGTGAAAAAAAGCGCCTAGCAAGCGTGTTGCGTTGCTAGAGAAGTCGGGATTTCAAGTGAATTCATTACTGCCATTGTTCAAGGCCCTATTTCGGATATATATCGAAATATTGGTTCCCGAACTGACAGGATCTTTTTGTTATTGTATGCTATGTGCCACAAGTAAATTTGTTTTGTTTTATTTTAAGCGTGTTTGTGGGCTGCTCATCCCATCTTTTGCATTACAGTTCCAGATAGGGTATGGAATCGTCTGCACTTAGACTAACATTAACTTCCCACTGAATGCGAATTCGCGTGACACGGATTTGTATAACACTACACTAAAAGAGAGCCATATAATGTGATAGAAAAATGGGAGAAATGTTACGGTTTCATTGGGTTTTAGTTCCAATAATTGCTATAATGAATAGATTCTTAAAAAAGAAGGTAGAAAAAGCCTTTTAACAAATATTTATACATTTTTTGTGAACGAAAATATTTATTTACCAGCAATCATAAAAATTATATATTTATAGTCCAAGTGTTTTTTACAATAAGTAACGATAAGTAACCTACGTGCTATACAAGGATCTACTGCATGCAAATACAGAGTACATGTCTCATACTGATAATAAATAGCATGTCCTCCTGAAGCGAAGGACGTTAATAATATTCTTATAGTTACTGAAATAATTAAAAGTTTCTCTTCAACAGTTTCTTTTTTTGCTGGGACTTCCTTTTAGTTGGATTAAGAAGCGACGATTACCTTCTTCGGCAAAGTCAAGTTTAGTTGATTAGTTTTACTTGATTCTAATTTCATTATTTCCTTTTGCTTGGCTTTCGCGCTTAGTATAAAGTTAATTTTAATTTTCATTATCTGTAATTATAATATTTTAAATATTTTAGTTTTATTAAATTTTTCTGCTTGATTTGTTTTCATTTGTACTAAAGTATGATGTTTTTCTTTTCTATTTTTTTTTTTTTTGCATTTTTTTAAGTGATCGCGTTCTAACATTTCATTAAAGTTACGATCAGACCGGTTTTTGCAGTATTATGTAAAATGTTTTTGAATATTGCATTGTAACTGTTGGTTGATGGGTTTTTTGTTTTTCGTTTTTTTTTTTTTGTATACTTAATAGCTCGAAGTTGGCGGTATGCTAACTTTGTTTTCCAGTTTGCAATCGTCATTGAATTGGAATAAACTTCTTTGGCGAAACTATTGTACAATGAACGAAAACTTTAAATCTTTGAGAATCGGTTTAGCAGCAACTCTTTTCCTCGACAATGTTATGAAAATCTTGTGAAAAATACATTCACCTTTCGAACTTATTCCCTAAGACTCATACGATTTCGTCAAAATATTTTGAAAACTCGGGTGCGTATTTTAAACACTAGAAAACTAGTCGGATGTACGGACAGACAAACTTAGGTTGATTCAGGAAGTGACTCTAAATCAATCTTCTTTACGAAATTGGAAAATTTTTCCTAAAACGACACCATTTTCGGAAACTCCTTCCATACAATTGTCCTTAAATGATTTCTGTGTACAATTGTCCTTAAATGATTTCTGTGTAGTATTTGATATTAAACTTTGTTTGAAGTCAATGTACGATGTACAGATTGATTATAGTGAATTTGGAGGAAAAACCCCCATAAGTGTGTTTTATGCTCATCATTAAGGATCAGTAATATGTCAATGTTTTTGACAGAGATGTTTTCCACGGATCCTCACCAAGTTTTCGGTGTGCCTGTTCAAAAAATGATCATTTAGAGTCAGAGAGACTTTAAAGGTTTTTTTTCTAGGTTATTAAGCATAGTAAACTAGGAGGGTAGTTTTGAGTTGCTGCTGCAACTAGCCGCAGAAGAAAAAAAGCGGGTATAAGTCTCTTTTTAAGATAGCGCCGTCACTTAATAAATTAAAAATTTTACTTCTTATGGATTTTGCATTTCATTCATTATCAATTGAAAATCGTATATTGTTCGTGATCTGTAAAAAGCTGCTTTCAAGATTAATGCAAACATGATTGATCGGCTGCTGAGAAATCTATCACCATCTAAACTGTAGGATGTTTATAGGAGGAATTCGCTGATATCCGTCCCATCTCGTTAATCGTAAATGGATTGTAAATGTTCATATTCGTCTCATCTCGCCTTAAGGGGATTATAACTCGCAAATCTTTATGGCTGGTTTCAAAATGCAGTAAGCGGTATTTCGCTGATTGTAGTGCACTCGAATTAGAGTCCATGGTTTATAGTCTAGTAAGACAAAGATCGCAAGAAAGATCAATCATCATCCTCTCTAATGGCTTCAATTTTCTTATCTACTCATTCTAGAGGAGGTTATTATGATTAGAACGCAAGATATTATGCAAATACTTCCTTCTTCGCCTGAATGGTTGCCTTAAAAAACAGCTTTCGGCCATAACTTTGTTGTATAACGTTTGCCTAAACACACAGTTTATTAATCAGTTTATGCAAAACTTGATTTTATTATAAAGTATGTTACTTAAGTCTTTTATTATTAATCTATATTAAAAAAAAAAATGCATGTGGACTTGCCTTTAAGGCATTCGAATAGAAAGTAAAAGGTTTCTTTGAAATATGCAAATCTATGCTACATATATATAGTTTAAAAAAAAATATTGAGCTTTCGATTAGTTACAAAACCATGATTTTAATCTGATACTTAAGTACGATCTACGATTTGAGTTTAATTAAAGCTTTCCCTTATCAACAAGCTCAATCTTTTCTCAACAATTAAATTTTTTTATTCCTAAACTCGATATTTTTTGGACGAGATAAAGTTGCGTTATTGCTGAGAAGCAATATTTTTTAGACAAACAAATGTAAATAATGCCAATGGAAACACGATTAATAGTATGTGTGTCCCACTGGCATTAATTATAAAAGAAAACAATCCCAAACAAATACCTTTTGCAAATTTGTTTTTTTTTTTTTTTTTTTTTGATATAATAAACAAAAAGTGTGTGTGTTCGTTCAGTAACCTAAATTTAAACAATAAATCAACTTTTTTAAGGAAATTTACTTAAGATATATTTTCCTTTCCTCCGTCACCAGCACCGAATGGCAAAAAAGATTATAAAATCTCTAGAGTGGACTATCGCGTATGTCGTTATATATCGTAGGTAAAGATAGATAGTGTTTTGCAAAAAGATAAAAATAAAAACAAAAAAAAAATTCGTAAAAAATCTAGATCAGCATATATTAGTTTTTTAAGTGTTTTCGCTAAAGCAATAACCGTTACCTCTTTTAGTGTTTTATATAATTTTTCTTGTTTCTTTTTTTCTTTATTTAAAATTTAAATTATATAGCTGGCTGCTATATAATATACACAGAG